TATTTTTAGTTGATTCTAAATAAGGACAGTACATATTAATCAACATTTTTGTAAATATTCCAGTATCAGATCTGCTACCGCAGTCCTTGTAAAGGTTCAAAATACCAGTACAAAATACAGCAAACAAACATTTATATAACTACATTATAAAATATACAAACATGTTCAGTAATGTTAGTTAAACTTAAAAACTGATTTTAGAAACAATAAAAAACTATTTCTTTACCATAAGTTTTAAACATGTTTTTTAAAGCCCTGAGTATGTGAACTGGCATTGTGTTCCAGAACTGGATGGTGCACACTCAGAGGGCTGATTACTTAACTATTATCCCTTTGTTTTTGTTTTTGTTTTTGTTTTTTTTATACTTATTTAAGATTAAATTCATATATTAAAGGTATAGAGGATGATTTTCCCAATTTTTAGGAAAGAACCGCCCTATCCACTTTTTCAACAAAACTCTGGTGTTGTTTGTCGAGCACCAGAATGATTGACAATTGAGAGGACCAATAGTCTTGATGATCCACCCGGAAGTAGAAAATCCTCCTATATACCTTTAACAATTACCTTTGGTTTACTTCACCAAAAATAAAAATATGAAATGCTACTAAAGGCCTGACCTAATATGATAACTAAAACAAGGTGGTGTATTTAGGGGCAAATAAAATGCTACTAATAACACATTACACCTTTAAATCAGTCATTTATTCTTTCTCTCTTTCTCTCAATTTTAATTTCTAGTCAATACTATTTGATATTGGTTGGCTTAATAGGTTATGTCCTAAAGTTAGCATGACTGTATTAAAAGGCCGTGCATTGTGTCTGTTTGTTGATCATATATAATAGATACGTCAAATATTCCAAATGATTAAAAGCAATTACTTCTACATGAATAATACTCGAAAATGCACGTCTCCATGTACAGGAGAGTGGCGCTATTGAGTCAGTAAAGGCTCATAGTGCGAGTAAAGGCACCGACTCGCTTTGGGGCGGATCACAAGTGGAAAGCGCGGCGGTGCTGAAAATGGAAGGCAATAGAAAGAAAATATATTTTTGATAAAGATAGATTGTTTAGATTGCTGTCCAGGACTTGGCGGATTGTAACAACATTATAACTGTTTGCAAATGAGAGGCCAGACATTTTTCACCTGAAACGACAAAATTGAGAGACTGATCATGACGTTCTCTGTCAGGTACGTGATCCTCGTTACACTGTTTTCTTTCATGGGCCGTGTTTCTACATCTGTGACGCCTTACTCCATACCAGAGGAAATGAAAGAAGGATCTGTTGTGGCGAACCTCGCACATGACTTAAGTCTGGATTTAAAGACACTGAAGGAGAGAAAAATGCGTCTGGACATTGTAGCGAACAAGAAGTATCTGGACGTGAACAAAGAGACGGGAGAGCTGTTTATAGTGGAGAGAATTGACAGAGAAAATATTTGCACAACAAAATCTGCTGCATCCTGCTATCTTAGACTGGAGGTGACGCTTGAAAAATCCTCTGCGAATATTTAACATAGAGGTAGAAATTATGGACATAAACGACAACGCCCCTCACTTTCGCAGAGACGCGATTCACTTGGACATATCCGAGGCCACGCCGAAAGGAGAGAGGTTTTCTCAGGCCTGAAGCAACGCAGTTAGATCCTGATGTTGGGAGTAATACACTGAAAACATATTACTTAAGTGAAAGTGATCATTTTAATATTGAGGTTCAAACTGGACGTGACGGGACTAAACTGGCGGATCTGATTCTCACAAAGACTTTGGACAGAGAGCTGCAGCAACACACACCATTTAATTCTGACCGCTGTAGACGGAGGCACACCGGCTCGCTCTGGCACTGCGAGCATCATCGTGCATGTGCTGGATACTAATGGATAATACTCCTACTTTTGAAAAGGAAAATTACAACATTAAAGTCCTGGAGAATTCTCCTGTTGGTAGTGTAGTCATCCAGTTAAATGCGACAGATTTAGACACGGGATGCTAATTCAGATCTAACATATTCTTACAGTCTGTATACATCAGAGAAAGCTCAAGAAACATTTAATCTCAATCCTAAAACTGGAGAGATTACTGTTTAAAGGGGTGTTAAACTATGAAGATTATAAAATCTATGACATGGAGATTATTGCCACTGATAAAGGAGTGGACAGTTTATCAGGACAGTGTACAGTAAAAATTATTGTTGAAGACATGAATGACAACCACCCAGAAGTATCAATAAAATCTTTCCAGAGCCCAGTCAGTGAGAAACATAGAGGTGGACACAGTGATAGCTGTGGTCAGTGTCAGTGACAAAGACTCAGGAGAAAATGGAGAGGTACATCTCCATGTTCCTCCTCATATGCCTTTTAAACTGAGGGCAGTCCTCTGATAATTATTATGAACTGGTGCTGTCTGAGCCTTTAGACCGTGAGAAGGTCCCAGAGTATGACATCACCTTCACTGTCACAGACAGAGGCTCTCCTCCATTATCTGACAATGTGACTATGACTTTAGAGCTGCTGGATGTGAACGACAATGTTCCACAGTTCCCCCAGTCCTTTTACACCATACGTGTCCTGGAGAACAACGCACCAGGAGCTCTGCTCGGCTCACTCACAGCCTTTGACCCCGACCTCCATGAGAACCAGTATCTAGTCTACTTCATCCTGGAGAAGGAGGTGGCCAACACCTCCATGTCCATGCTGTTCTCCATCAACCCAGAGAACGGGAACTTGTACGCACTCAAGACCTTTGACTATGAGATAGAGAAGGAGTTTCTGTTCCACATCGAGGGCCAGAGACTCAGGCTCTCTCCTCCTCTGAGCAGTAACGTGACCGTGCGTACATCATTGTTGTGGACCAAAACGACAACGCTGGTCCGGTCATCGTGTCCCCGTGGCGTGCACACGGCTCCTGTGGTGGAGGAGTGAAGATCCCCAGGTCCACTGATAAAGGCTCGCTGGTGGGCCAAAGTCATAGCTCTGGACACTGACTCTGTGCACAACTCTCGCATCACCTACCAGTTTCTACAGGTGACTGACGCCACGTGTGTTCAGTCTGGACCAGTACAACGGAGAGATCCGCACCATGAGGATGTTCAGCTACAGAGACCCCCGGCACCAGCAGCTGGTGGTGGTTGCCAAGGACAACGGGCAGCCCTCGCTGTCGGCCACAGTGACCATCAAACTGTCCACGGTGGAGACGGCGGTGAAGGCCTACTCTGACATGACCGAGGTGCCTCTGGAGTACGACATCTTCTCTGACCTGAACCTGTATCTGGTCATTGGTCTGGGCTCGGTCTCCTTCCTCCTGCTCATCACAATACTGGTCACCATCGTGCTCAAGTGTCAGAAACCCAAGTCCAGCAAAGCTCCTCCTCCCTGCAGGAAACAGCGTGCTCAGTGAGAGGAACTCCACCATCGCAGACTCCACTCTGGTGTCCACGATGCCTACTGGTACAGCATTGTTACTGGCAGAGACCAGGAAAGGGAAGCTGGTGGTGAGACAACCTATGCCCAAAGGCTCCAGTTACATAGTTGTCCAGTATCCCACGGGGCTCAGGAGTGAGCGCTCCCTCCACACACCAGATAAAATAAACAAACAAACGAAAATGTATCATGAAATATTTAGCTCTTATTCTTTTTCTTGTTCACATACGCAGGTAATGTCAAAAAATTACAAAAGACTCCACCCTCAAGGTATTTTCCGGTGCAGGAACTATCATGTATTTAAATCTAAAACATTAATGTAAAACAAGGTCACAAAGGTGTTGCAAAACTGTTTGACCTTAAAACATATGTATTTTAACCAAACTTGTACACAAATACCGAATTATAGATGCTTTAGACAGATCTATACGTTTATAACACACATTTTTTGAATAAATCTTGCAGCTTATTGTCCATACTCAGTCAAATGAGCCATTTTTAACGTAGTGGCGCTTTATTAGGAACCAATGTGATCACAATCTCACGCCAGAGGTTCGGAGCTGAGTAAAGCAACTAACTTCGTTTCTAGTGTGTCATGGGTTATAACAGGTGAAGAAGCAAGCTAACGCATCTGAACTGTGATTGCATTCAGCTCACTGCGCATATGATCCTAATGCGCCAACACGCGATGTGTCCACGGTCTCAGCCTGCACAGAGCTCGGCGTCTGACATCAGAGTTCTCAGATAAGCGAACGCCAGATGGCACTAAGTGATTAAACAAACCATTGGAAAAAATTCAGTGACAGGACATTTCCACAATCTATCTTTTAAGCATTCTTGTCAGCTGAGGTGGCGCTGTTTATTGATGAAGAAAATCTGGAGGCCACAATTTTCTGTCACGCAGTACGCGTGACCCTGAGCACGTGGCAGGACAGACTATGCTCAGTCAGTGCTGAAACACGCATTGTTCTCTGTGTGCCGCCAAACCGTGCCTGTTTATATTCTATCATTTTGGACACTGCGTATATTTGTGCCATGGGAAACCTGTGAATGAAGGAGGAATATTTTTGATTTGATGTGAATTAGTACATAATAACACGGCACTTTGAAACCATGGAGGTCTGCGTCAGGTACGTGATCCTCGTTACACTGTTTTCTTTCATGGGCCGTGTTTCTACATCTGTGACGCCTTACTCCATACCAGAGGAAATGAAAGAAGGATCTGTTGTGGCGAACCTCGCACATGACTTAAGTCTGGATTTAAAGACACTGAAGGAGAGAAAAATGCGTCTGGACATTGTAGCGAACAAGAAGTATCTGGACGTGAACAAAGAGACGGGAGAGCTGTTTATAGTGGAGAGAATTGACAGGGAAAATATTTGCACGACAAAATCTGCTGCATCCTGCTATCTTAGACTGGAGGTGACGCTTGAAAATCCTCTGCGAATATTTAACATAGAGGTAGAAATTATGGACATAAACGACAACGCCCCTCACTTTCGCAGAGACGCGATTCACTTGGACATATCCGAGGCCACGCCGAAAGGAGAGAGGTTTTCTCTGAGCAACGCAGTAGATCCTGATGTTGGGAGTAATACACTGAAAACATATTACTTAAGTGAAAGTGATCATTTTAATATTGAGGTTCAAACTGGACGTGACGGGACTAAACTGGCGGATCTGATTCTCACAAAGACTTTGGACAGAGAGCTGCAGCACACACACCATTTAATTCTGACCGCTGTAGACGGAGGCACACCGGCTCGCTCTGGCACTGCGAGCATCATCGTGCATGTGCTGGATACTAATGATAATACTCCTACTTTTGAAAAGGAAAATTACAACATTAAAGTCCTGGAGAATTCTCCTGTTGGTAGTGTAGTCATCCAGTTAAATGCGACAGATTTAGACACGGGATCTAATTCAGATCTAACATATTCTTACAGTCTGTATACATCAGAGAAAGCTCAAGAAACATTTAATCTCAATCCTAAAACTGGAGAGATTACTGTTAAAGGGGTGTTAAACTATGAAGATTATAAAATCTATGACATGGAGATTATTGCCACTGATAAAGGAGTGGACAGTTTATCAGGACAGTGTACAGTAAAAATTATTGTTGAAGACATGAATGACAACCACCCAGAAGTATCAATAAAATCTTTCCAGAGCCCAGTCAGTGAGAACATAGAGGTGGACACAGTGATAGCTGTGGTCAGTGTCAGTGACAAAGACTCAGGAGAAAATGGAGAGGTACATCTCCATGTTCCTCCTCATATGCCTTTTAAACTGAGGCAGTCCTCTGATAATTATTATGAACTGGTGCTGTCTGAGCCTTTAGACCGTGAGAAGGTCCCAGAGTATGACATCACCTTCACTGTCACAGACAGAGGCTCTCCTCCATTATCTGACAATGTGACTATGACTTTAGAGCTGCTGGATGTGAACGACAATGTTCCACAGTTCCCCCAGTCCTTTTACACCATACGTGTCCTGGAGAACAACGCACCAGGAGCTCTGCTCGGCTCACTCACAGCCTTTGACCCCGACCTCCATGAGAACCAGTATCTAGTCTACTTCATCCTGGAGAAGGAGGTGGCCAACACCTCCATGTCCATGCTGTTCTCCATCAACCCAGAGAACGGGAACTTGTACGCACTCAAGACCTTTGACTATGAGATAGAGAAGGAGTTTCTGTTCCACATCGAGGCCAGAGACTCAGGCTCTCCTCCTCTGAGCAGTAACGTGACCGTACACATCATTGTTGTGGACCAAAACGACAACGCTCCGGTCATCGTGTCCCCGTGGCGTGCACACGGCTCTGTGGTGGAGGAGAAGATCCCCAGGTCCACTGATAAAGGCTCGCTGGTGGCCAAAGTCATAGCTCTGGACACTGACTCTGTGCACAACTCTCGCATCACCTACCAGTTTCTACAGGTGACTGACGCCACGTTGTTCAGTCTGGACCAGTACAACGGAGAGATCCGCACCATGAGGATGTTCAGCTACAGAGACCCCCGGCACCAGCAGCTGGTGGTGGTTGCCAAGGACAACGGGCAGCCCTCGCTGTCGGCCACAGTGACCATCAAACTGTCCACGGTGGAGACGGCGGTGAAGGCCTACTCTGACATGACCGAGGTGCCTCTGGAGTACGACATCTTCTCTGACCTGAACCTGTATCTGGTCATTGGTCTGGGCTCGGTCTCCTTCCTCCTGCTCATCACCATACTGGTCACCATCGTGCTCAAGTGTCAGAAACCCAAGTCCAGCAAAGCTCCTCCTCCCAGCAGGAACAGCGTGCTCAGTGAGAGGAACTCCACCATCGCAGACTCCACTCTGGTGTCCAACGATGCCTACTGGTACAGCATGTTCCTGGCAGAGACCAGGAAAGGGAAGCTGGTGGTGAGACAACCTATGCCCAAAGGCTCCAGATACATAGTGTCCAGTATCCCACGGGGCTCAGGAGTGAGCGACACCAGCGGCTCTGCTCCCTCCACACTGCAGGTAAGACTCCACCCCTCATAAAAAAAAAACACACAAACAAACAAACAATCTTGATGTCTTTTTTTCTGTTCATATAGAAATGTCAGAATACAATATTTGTAATAAATCTCTTTTCATTACATTAATATGATCAAAAAGTGTATATGGGGTTGTGAATCTCCTACTTGACCTTGAATCCTGATAAATATGTTTAATTACAAAATATACTTACAACAAGTGATTAGACCAGTAATCAAGATTAAGACGAAGAACCAACATAATATTCATAAGTCACTTTAAGTCACTTGCTTTAGGACTGAAAAAACCTGCACTACTTATTGATATAGGCTTATAACACTTGTTTGAAAAATTGAATAGTCGGGAAAAAAGTAATGTTACACCAATGGGCCAAAACACATTTAAATTAGGAGGTTCAAGAACACTTTAGGCAAACAAGGCTAGGATGATTGACATGGAGGAAACTTTGGTGACTTAAATCGTTGTACAAGTTATTCAGATCATTTTATAGCAATAATCTCGTCAACATAGCCTTTGGTTTCTCTCCATTCACATACTCATCAATGCAGTTAATTTCTTTGACTCGTCGTGCTCTACTATATTAGGAGAGCATGGGTTCACATAAAGAACCCATGCCCCTACAGGCTTCGGGCTGAGTAAGAGCAAACTTAACTTCTTTTAGCCGTGTCATGTGTTCATAAGGGAAGAAGCAAGCGTTAACGCCATACGTAACTGTGATTCCCGCACACAATTCACGCATCACTGCCACTAGTGCGCCTAATAGCAAGACATATCCGCGATGCTTCCACGAGTCTCATCCTACACAGCCCAGCTTTTATACGGCGTCTGACTTCGGGGTGGGTTCGGCAGATAAGGGCGTAACGCCAGATAGCACGTGATGACCACAAACCCATACTGCTACACAAAATTACAGTACAAGTATGTTCCATTTTGACAACAACTTTATGTTGTGTATGCATTTTGAACCTAGAGGTGGCGCTGTTTATTTGTGAAACAATACTGAGAAATTCTTCTACGTCACGCCAGAAGGCGGACCTCTGCACGCGGCGAGGACAGCTCCGTAGTGCTGAAACACGCATTGTTCTCTGTTTGCCGCCAAACCGTGTGTTTTTCTATTCTATATCATTTTGGACACTGAGTATATTTGTGCCATGGGGAACCTGTAAATGAAGGAGGAGTATTATTGATTTGATGTCAATTAGTGCATAATAACACGGCACTTTGAAACCATGGAAGTCTGCGTCAGGTACGTGATTCTACTTTCACTGTTTTCTTTCATGGGCCGTGTTTCTACATCTGTGACGCATTACTCCATACCAGAGGAAATGAAAGAAGGATCTGTTGTGGCGAACCTCGCACATGACTTAAGTCTGGATTTAAAGACACTGAAGGAGAGAAAAATGCGTCTGGACATTATTGCGAACAAGAAATATCTGGACGTGAACAAAGAGACGGGAGAGCTGTTTATAGTGGAGAAGATTGACAGAGAAAGTACATGCCCTACAAAATCTTCAGAATCCTGCTATCTTAGACTGGAGGTGACGCTTGAAAATCCATTAAGAATATTTAATATAGAGGTAGAAATTATGGACATAAACGACAACGCCCCTCACTTTCGCAGAGACGCGATTCACTTGGACATATCCGAGGCCACGCCGAAAGGAGAGAGGTTTTCTCTGAGCAACGCAGTAGATCCTGATGTTGGGAGTAATACACTGAAAACATATTACTTAAGTGAAAGTGATCATTTTAATATTGAGGTTCAGACAGGCCGAGAGGGGACTAAACTGGCGGATCTGATTCTCACAAAGACTTTGGACAGAGAGCTGCAGCACACACACCATTTATTTCTGACCGCTGTAGACGGAGGCACACCGGCTCGCTCTGGCACTGCGAGCATCATCGTGCATGTGCTGGATACTAATGATAATACTCCTTCTTTTGAAAAGGAAAATTACAACATTAAAGTCCTGGAGAATTCTCCTGTTGGTAGTGTAGTCCTCCAGTTAAATGCGACAGATTTAGACACGGGATCTAATTCAGATCTAACATATTCTTACAGTCTGTATACATCAGAGAAAGCTCAAGAAACATTTAATCTCAATCCTAAAACTGGAGAGATTACTGTTAAAGGGGTGTTAAACTATGAAGATTATAAAATCTATGACATGGAGATTATTGCCACTGATAAAGGAGTGGACAGTTTATCAGGACAGTGTACAGTAAAAATTATTGTTGAAGACATGAATGACAACCACCCAGAAGTATCAATAAAATCTTTCCAGAGCCCAGTCAGTGAGAACATAGAGGTGGACACAGTGATAGCTGTGGTCAGTGTCAGTGACAAAGACTCAGGAGACAATGGAGAGGTACATCTCCATGTTCCTCCTCATATGCCTTTTAAACTGAGGCAGTCCTCTGATAATTATTATGAACTGGTGCTGTCTGAGCCTTTAGACCGTGAGAAGGTCCCAGAGTATGACATCACCTTCACTGTCACAGACAGAGGCTCTCCTCCATTATCTGACAATGTGACTATGACTTTAGAGCTGCTGGATGTGAACGACAATGTTCCACAGTTCCCCCAGTCCTTTTACACCATACGTGTCCTGGAGAACAACGCACCAGGAGCTCTGCTCGGCTCACTCACAGCCTTTGACCCCGACCTCCATGAGAACCAGTATCTAGTCTACTTCATCCTGGAGAAGGAGGTGGCCAACACCTCCATGTCCATGCTGTTCTCCATCAACCCAGAGAACGGGAACTTGTACGCACTCAAGACCTTTGACTATGAGATAGAGAAGGAGTTTCTGTTCCACATCGAGGCCAGAGACTCAGGCTCTCCTCCTCTGAGCAGTAACGTGACCGTAGACATCATTGTTGTGGACCAAAACGACAACGCTCCGGTCATCGTGTCCCCCTGGCGTGCACACGGCTCCGTTGTGGAGGAGAAGATCCCCAGGTCCACTGATAAAGGCTCGCTCGTGGCCAAAGTCATAGCTCTGGACACTGACTCTGTGCACAACTCTCGCATCACCTACCAGTTTCTACAGGTGACTGACGCCACGCTGTTCAGTCTGGACCAGTACAACGGAGAGATCCGCACCATGAGGATGTTCAGCTACAGAGACCCCCGGCACCAGCAGCTGGTGGTGGTCGCCAAGGACAACGGGCAGCCCTCGCTGTCGGCCACAGTGACCATCAAACTGTCCACGGTGGAGACGGCGGTGAAGGCCTACTCTGACATGACCGAGGTGCCTCTGGAGTACGACATCTTCTCTGACCTGAACCTGTATCTGGTCATTGGTCTGGGCTCGGTCTCCTTCCTCCTGCTCATCACCATACTGGTCACCATCGTGCTCAAGTGTCAGAAACCCAAGTCCAGCAAAGCTCCTCCTCCCAGCAGGAACAGCGTGCTCAGTGAGAGGAACTCCACCATCGCAGACTCCACTCTGGTGTCCAACGATGCCTACTGGTACAGCATGTTCCTGGCAGAGACCAGGAAAGGGAAGCTGGTGGTGAGACAGCCTATGCCCAAAGGCTCCAGATACATAGTGTCCAGTATCCCACGGGGCTCAGGAGTGAGCGACACCAGCGGCTCTGCTCCCTCCACACTGCAGGTAAGGCCCCGCCCCCCATAAAAAGATAAAATAAACAAACAAACAGAAAATGTATCATGAAATATTTAGTCAAATTTTTCTTATTCTTTTTCTTGTTCAGTTTTTCATACATTAGAATTGATCAAAAACAAACTTGTGATTGTTTTCAGCTCCATAAATGCCAATGTCAAAAAATTACAAAAGACGTCCTCTTTTTCCACTTGCCTTAATTATTGATGTGCAAGGTATTTTCCGGTGCAGGAACTATCATGTATTTAAATCTAATTTATTACATTAATGTAAAACAAGGTCATGCATAAGGTGTTGCAAATGTCACTGTTTTGACCTATAAAACCCATATTGTATTTTTAAACCCACAACTTGTTTACACAAATACCTTGTTAATGTTATAAGACTTGTCTTTAGACAGATCATTAATACGTTTTATGGAACAAAACACATGTTGTTTATTAGATTAGTAAAATGCGTTTGCAAGCTTATTGGTCTCAGTGACTCCAAGAAATTCAAAATTGTGAGGCCATTTTTAAACGTCAGGTGGCGCTGTTTATTAGTGAAACCACACTGTGAAGTCCACAATCCTCACGCCAGGAGGTTGCGCGTTGAGCGTGGGGAAGACAGCTCAGTAGTGCTGAAACCAAGCCCCGGCGATCCAAGATGGCGCCCTATTCAAATGAATGGTTGTGCTCAGTGGCGCTTTGTGACAGCATGGGGGCTGAAAAGATTAGCGGAAGTTGCCTGAAACTCGCAAAGATCTATGGGAAACTCGCCTGTATTTGGGCATCGTCTGGTCCTCCCGGTTCTGCGCAGTGGATGATCTCCCATAATGCGTTGCGCCAAACACGCGTGTGTGGGTCTCACACCGGGTCTCACGCACGTGCACAGAGGGGCTCGGCCGCGCTCTGACCAATCAGAGCAGTTCATCAGAGCGGGAGTTAGAGCGAGAGCCAGACGAGCAGAGTTTGTGGCACTAAAGTGTGGATTTAAACAAAACCGAAGGATTTAAGAAGAAAAAAAGTTCAGGATGACAAGGGACACTAAAATCCCCACAAAATCCTATCTTTATTAAAGCTGTAGGTTCTCTGTCAGCTGAGGTTGAGCTGTTTTAATATGCATTGAGTTCTATGGGGAAAATTTCTGGGTGGCCCACGTGAATTTAGTCTGGTTCAGTCTGCAGTACCGCGAGAATCCCCTGAGCACATGAGTTATTCAGCTACAAGCTATTAATACCCTATCCAGTTAATATAATACATCCATGGCTGAAACACGCATTGTTCTCTGTGTGCCGCCAAACCGTGCCTGTTTATATTCTATCATTTTGGACACTGCGTATATTTGTGCCATGGGAAACCTGTGAATGAAGGAGGAATATTTTTGATTTGATGTGAATTAGTACATAATAACACGGCACTTTGAAACCATGGAGGTCTGCGTCAGGTACGTGATCCTCGTTACACTGCTTTCTTTCATGGGCCGTGTTTCTACATCTGTGACGCATTACTCCATACCAGAGGAAATGAAAGAAGGATCTATCGTGGCGAACCTCGCACATGACTTAAGTCTGGATTTAAAGACACTGAAGGAGAGAAAGATGCGTCTGGACATTATTGCGAACAAGAAATATCTGGACGTGAACAAAGAGACGGGAGAGCTGTATATAGTGGAGAAGATTGACAGAGAAAGTATATGCCCTTCAAAATCTGCAGCATCGTGTTACCTAAAACTGGAAGTCACGTTAGAAAATCCATTAAGAATATTTAATATAGAGGTTGAAATTATGGACATAAACGACAACGCCCCTCACTTTCGCAGAGATGCGATTCACTTGGACATATCCGAGGCCACGCCGAAAGGAGAGAGGTTTTCTCTCAGCAACGCAGTAGATCCTGATGTTGGAAGTAATTCACTGAAAACGTATCACCTCAGTGACAGTGATCATTTTGATATCGAAGTACAAACAGGCCGAGATGGGTCAAAGTTTGCAGAATTAATTCTCACAAAGACTTTGGACAGAGAGCTGCAGCACACACACCATTTAATTCTGACCGCTGTAGACGGAGGCACACCGGCACGCTCTGGCACAGCGAGCATCATTGTGCATGTGCTGGATACTAATGATAATACTCCTTCTTTTGAAAAGGAAAATTACAACATTAAAGTCCTGGAGAATTCTCCTGTTGGTAGTGTAGTCATCCAGTTAAATGCGACAGATTTAGACACGGGATCTAATTCGGATCTAACATATTCTTACAGTCTGTATACATCAGAGAAAGCTCAAGAAACATTTAATCTCAATCCTAAAACTGGAGAGATTACTGTTAAAGGAGTGTTAAACTATGAAGATTATAAAATCTATGACATGGAGATTATTGCCACTGATAAAGGAGTGGACAGTTTATCAGGACAGTGTACAGTAAAAATCATTGTTGAAGACATGAATGACAACCACCCAGAAGTATCAATAAAATCTTTCCAGAGCCCAGTCAGTGAGAACATAGAGGTGGACACAGTGATAGCTGTGGTCAGTGTCAGTGACAAAGACTCAGGAGACAATGGAGAGGTACATCTCCATGTTCCTCCTCATATGCCTTTTAAACTGAGGCAGTCCTCTGATAATTATTATGAACTGGTGCTGTCTGAGCCTTTAGACCGTGAGAAGGTCCCAGAGTATGACATCACCTTCACTGTCACAGACAGAGGCTCTCCTCCATTATCTGACAATGTGACTATGACTTTAGAGCTGCTGGATGTGAACGACAATGTTCCACAGTTCCCCCAGTCCTTTTACACCATACGTGTCCTGGAGAACAACGCACCAGGAGCTCTGCTCGGCTCACTCACAGCCTTTGACCCCGACCTCCATGAGAACCAGTATCTAGTCTACTTCATCCTGGAGAAGGAGGTGGCCAACACCTCCATGTCCATGCTGTTCTCCATCAACCCAGAGAACGGGAACTTGTACGCTCTCAAGACCTATGACTATGAGATAGAGAAGGAGTTTCTGTTCCACATCGAGGCCAGAGACTCAGGCTCTCCTCCTCTGAGCAGTAACGTGACCGTACACATCATTGTTGTGGACCAAAACGACAACGCTCCGGTCATCGTGTCCCCGTGGCGTGCACACGGCTCCGTGGTGGAGGAGAAGATCCCCAGGTCCACTGATAAAGGCTCGCTGGTGGCCAAAGTCATAGCTCTGGACACTGACTCTGTGCACAACTCTCGCATCACCTACCAGTTTCTACAGGTGACTGACGCCACGTTGTTCAGTCTGGACCAGTACAACGGAGAGATCCGCACCATGAGGATGTTCAGCTACAGAGACCCCCGGCACCAGCAGCTGGTGGTGGTCGCCAAGGACAACGGGCAGCCCTCGCTGTCGGCCACAGTGACCATCAAACTGTCCACAGTGGAGACGGCGGTGAAGGCCTACTCTGACATGACCGAGGTGCCTCTGGAGTACGACATCTTCTCAGACCTGAACCTGTATCTGGTCATTGGTCTGGGCTCGGTCTCCTTCCTCCTGCTCATCACCATACTGGTCACCATCGTGCTCAAGTGTCAGAAACCCAAGTCCAGCAAAGCTCCTCCTCCCAGCAGGAACAGCGTGCTCAGTGAGAGGAACTCCACCATCGCAGACTCCACTCTGGTGTCCAACGATGCCTACTGGTACAGCATGTTCCTGGCAGAGACCAGGAAAGGGAAGCTGGTGGTGAGACAGCCTATGCCCAAAGGCTCCAGATACATAGTGTCCAGTATCCCACGGGGCTCAGGAGTGAGCGACACCAGCGGCTCTGCTCCCTCCACACTGCAGGTAGGCATTTTGTAAAATTGTATATGACTTTCTATTTGATAATATCATTTATTTCCTTGCAAGAATGGTTCCTTTATGTGTTCATGCATTTATGAGTCTTGATTCAGATGTATAATAGGATAAAAATCACATTTTTGCAATGCGTTGCTTTCTTCTCATACTTTTTCTTATGGCAGTCACATGACGCCTCCTATTTACATCTATTTGTCAGATTTGTATTGCTTTGTTTTTTGTCGGGTATTTACATTTCTATACAAAGTACATTTAATATTGTTCTTTCATTGGTATCAGAGCTCCTGTATGACCAGAAATTCCTTGTTTATTTATATATATTTTCCATGGAGACATCGTTTTTTCTATGTGCTTTTCATCAAGCGTGAATTAATTTCTCCTGATAGGAGAATTACAGCTGTCTTAAAACACAAAATAGGACACATCATAACAAAATTATATATTCACTTTGAGATAGGGCTTTAAGTTATTTAAAGACATTCTTTTGTAAAATCTTGCAGCCATTTATCAAACGTTAGGCCTGAGACATGTTTAGGGTTAGGAGGCTATAACCAATAACAACAAACAAATGGCAAAACATAAACCAAAAACTAAATTCTATGACAATATAATAATAATCATACTCAAACATTTGACCTTTTATACTATACGAATATGATAATACGCCACATCCGATGTGTTATCCTGATTCTGACTATATTATGATTATTTACGTGATAACAAAAGTTTCTGAAGGACTACAGACTTAAATACATCCTTGTATACGATTCAACACCTCTATTTTTAATTATTTCAGACGCAAATCTCTATTTTGTAAGCTAGTGTCGCTGTTCACCCAAAAAACCGCAGCATTTCACACAGTCGTGACGTTTGAGCAAAATGGCAGAAACAGACTGAGGACTGCGTCTTTGATAAGAAAAGCATTTACGCGCATTGACCCTGAACGCACGGAGCTTCATCCCCAGTGACTGCATCTTTACAGGAGACATCCGAACCGTATCTTTCCACATTGGATTACAGTTTTGAATACAGACGCAGTGGACTTGCATCAAATCCTCAATGATGCTCTGGGTAACAATGCGAAGGTACGTGGTGGTCGTCTTTCTCCTTTCTTCTACCCGCCTCGTCCCTGCTTCAGTGACACATTACACGATACCAGAGGAGATGCCAGTGGGATCAGTCGTGTCCAATCTTGCCACGGATTTGGGCCTGGATGTGAAAACTCTTAATAGTAGAAAACTGCGCATTGATCTCATCACAAAAAAGAAATATCTTGACGTTAACAGAGATACGGGAGAGTTGTATGTTGTAGAAAGTATCGATAGGGAACATCTTTGCACAACTCTAACATCATGCTACCTTAAAATGGAGGTCATACTTGAAAACCCAGTGCGAATATTCAACATTGAGATTGAGATTTTGGACATTAATGACAACGCGCCGCAGTTCCGACGTGATATAATACACTTGGACATATCCGAGTCCACGCCTGTTGGGGAAAGGTTCTCTCTCAGTAATGCCGTGGATCCAGACGTTGGGATGAACACAGTAAAGACGTACCACCTGAGTGAGAGTGAGCACTTTACTCTGGAGGTTCAAACAAGCAGAGATGGGTCTAAACTTGCGGATTTAATTCTGACGAGAGCCTTAGACCGCGAGAGCCAGGCAGTGTATCATTTAGTCCTGACCGCGGTAGACGGCGGCACGCCTGCTGGCTCTGGGACAGCCAGTGTTGTTGTTCAGGTACTGGACACAAACGACAATGCTCCTGTGTTTGACAAAGCAGCATATACCGTTAGAACGCAAGAAAATTCCCCCGTGGGAGGTCTTGTTATTCATCTAAATGCGACTGATTTGGACGAGGGCTCTAATTCAGATCTAACATATTCTTACAGTCTGTATACATCAGAGAAAGCTCAAGAAACATTTAATCTCAATCCTAAAACTGGAGAGATTACTGTTAAAGGGGTGTTAAACTATGAAGATTATAAAATCTATGACATGGAGATTATTGCCACTGATAAAGGAGTGGACAGTTTATCAGGACAGTGTACAGTAAAAATCATTGTTGAAGACATGAATGACAACCACCCAGAAGTATCAATAAAATCTTTCCAGAGCCCAGTCAGTGAGAACATAGAGGTGGACACAGTGATAGCTGTGGTCAGTGTCAGTGACAAAGACTCAGGAGACAATGGAGAGGTACATCTCCATGTTCCTTCTCATATGCCTTTTAAACTGAGGCAGTCCTCTGATAATTATTATGAACTGGTGCTGTCTGAGCCTTTAGACCGTGAGAAGGTCCCAGAGTATGACATCACCTTCACTGTCACAGACAGAGGCTCTCCTCCATTATCTGACAATGTGACTATGACTTTAGAGCTGCTGGATGTGAACGACAATGTTCCACAGTTCCCCCAGTCCTTTTACACCATACGTGTCCTGGAGAACAACGCACCAGGAGCTCTGCTCGGCTCACTCACAGCCTTTGACCCCGACCTCCATGAAAACCAGTATCTAGTCTACTTCATCCTGGAGAAGGAGGTGGCCAACACCTCCATGTCCATGCTGTTCTCCATCAACCCAGAGAACGGGAACTTGTACGCACTCAAGACCTTTGACTATGAGATAGAGAAGGAGTTTCTGTTCCACATCGAGGCCAGAGACTCAGGCTCTCCTCCTCTGAGCAGTAACGTGACCGTACACATCATTGTTGTGGACCAAAACGACAACGCTCCGGTCATCGTGTCCCCGTGGCGTGCACACGGCTCTGTGGTGGAGGAGAAGATCCCCAGGTCCACTGATAAAGGCTCGCTGGTGGCCAAAGTCATAGCTCTGGACACTGACTCTGTGCACAACTCTCGCATCACCTACCAGTTTCTACAGGTGACTGACGCCACGCTGTTCAGTCTGGACCAGTACAACGGAGAGATCCGCACCATGAGGATGTTCAGCTACAGAGACCCCCGGCACCAGCAGCTGGTGGTGGTCGCCAAGGACAACGGGCAGCCCTCACTGTCGGCCACAGTGACCATCAAACTGTCCACGGTGGAGACAGTGGTGAAGGCCTACTCTGACATGACCGAGGTGCCTCTGGAGTACGACATCTTCTCAGACCTGAACCTGTATCTGGTCATTGGTCTGGGCTCGGTCTCCTTCCTCCTGCTCATCACCATACTGGTCACCATCGTGCTCAAGTGTCAGAAACCCAAGTCCAGCAAAGCTCCTCCTCCCAGCAGGAACAGCGTGCTCAGTGAGAGGAACTCCACCATCGCAGACTCCACTCTGGTGTCCAACGATGCCTACTGGTACAGCATGTTCCTGGCAGAGACCAGGAAAGGGAAGCTGGTGGTGAGACAGCCTATGCCCAAAGGCTCCAGATACATAGTGTCCAGTATCCCACGGGGCTCAGGAGTGAGCGACACCAGCGGCTCTGCTCCCTCCACACTGCAGGTAAATGCTTATGTCTTTTCACATATAATTTGTATAACAAAGTGCAATGAATACAACTTACACACAGAAATGTTTGTAACTCTAACCAGTTAGACATAATGTGCAGTAATGCCCTCTCCCTAATTTGATGAACAGTACACCAAATAGCCTATAACTTTTGGGATGAAAAAGTCATTCTTTTATGAAGGGAAATGTAAAATCCAATTCCCACCAATACTTATCCCGTTATTAATACTTACATTTCTATATGTACTATTTAATACAATACTAATAACAATAGAGGCATCCCTTAGGCAACCACTGCTCCTTGCAGTTTTTATTCCAACACTGTCAAAGACTATAAGATGAGATGAAAAATTAGGGGAAAGATTTAAAAAAAAAAACAAAAAAAAACTTATGTTATATGAGACATAAAGCCATCTTTTGTTTCTTTGGAGATGTTTTTCCTTTGGATTTAATTATACACAGTTTGACACAACAAAAAAACAGCCATGTTGTCACATGACTAAATATTGTGGTAAAAAGACTCACATATAGTCATCAAATCTCACTCAACATTAAATTGTACTATTCTTGAAGCTAAATCAAGTTAAATGTGACAACGTCAACTTTCAGTTGAATTTGCAGATCTTTTATTGTTGGATTTTTTCTAAGAATATAAAGAAAGTTTCACTGCAGTTAATAACAATATGTACATTATTAAACACATTCATTATTTTTTGTTATTAATGTCTTTTTTATTCCACAAATGAGGGTTCATGTTTTTAAGATTGTTTCATCTTAAAGACAGATTATGTGTTTGGTTTTAGAGCACAACTCAAAAGTAAAGGATTTCAGTTAAATGGTCAACGAGACACGATTTGTAGCATGTTTACTAATATCCATCCATCCATCCATTTTCTACCCTTTAATCCATTTCTGGGTCAGGGGGGTGGCAATCAGAGATGCCACCCAAGTCACATAGCACCAGCCGATATTTACTAATATCAAAACACAATAATGGAACATTTAGGACATGTTTTCACAATTTGGTAGAAAAAGCTTTTAACGTGACCAACATGACTCCAAGTGTCATGTTTTTATTTCAATTAATATATTTGTAAGTAGATTTATTGAAGTCATGGTCCTAAATTAGCCTGAAATGCTCATGAGTGACTGACTTGTAAAGATTTATGATGGACGTAGATGGACAGAGTAATAGACAATGAATCAGTACCGCACGGATAATCAGACTGGATACTTAGTTGAAGGAAGTCTTTAATGCGACCGACAAGTGTGTATCTCTATAGATTATAGAGTCATATTCAGACTCTAGTTGAGAAATTCAAATGCAAAATAGAGCTTTATTGTTGTGGCAGAACAGACAACCAAAACCAACCTAGTCCGAGGGTTAGGGTTAGGGTTAGGGTTTTTTTTCAATTTGACCATGGTTTATTTACTAAGTTTTCTAAGCCTCAACAGCCGATCTTGATTCAGAAATCTGCTCTGGTCACACGCATCTCTGTTTTATAATCCTCTACCTCCACACCATTCATTAAAGGTCCCAGTCAGTTGCTTTTGTCATAACGTCTCTTACCTTTCATTTTTGACTGCTTTAACCCTTTTTAAGGATCACCCTTCCTATACAAGGAGGATTCATTTAGTCATTTATTTATTTATTAATTTTCATTTAGATATTCAGATAGATTCAAATGTTTTTAATTTAACAGCGTCAGTATTAGAATTCACTTGTGTGTGTTACCTTTCAAATGAGGCATCATAACACAGCATCAGACACAAGATGTCCAAACAATAAGCATTTCCATTATCGTAATTCGAGAAGGAACAGGCGAAATTAGGTGATCTTAGGTGAGTTTTAAGCACATGCCCCTGTTTAATACTTATCTCCTGTGCATGTTTGGGTAGGGACTACGTATACTTTTGCAAGGGGTATCAAACGGCCTTTCTCTAAATCATTATGACCTAAATGGCTTCCTTACCCTTTTCCTATCTGAGCCACTTTTTACTTTACACCAATGGGCTGCCCCAAAAAGTTTCTTTCCTCCAAAGCAGCTGATAATTGTCAAACCTCATCTTGCCCTATGCCCTGTGATGATTTCACCCTGTTTTTCATGGCTCTAACTTTGGTTGCTATATTTAAAGTAAAACATTGTTGTGGATTGGAAATTACAGGCAATAAGTTAAGTTGAAGATAATAATGTAGAGGGTAATAATACTGATATATAGGACACAATTATTGGTACATCATTCGGCCCTTTCCTTAATGGTCAACTTCAATGAACTGAGATGCAGTGCTGATTGCATGACGCAACATTTGCAATCTTTGCTTTGTTTTTAGTGTCTTCTTTAACAGGATAGTCTCCTTGTCCAATAGCAAACACAGGACATACAATATGATGCCTTATCAATAGAAACATGTCACCATAAGATCAACATTTGTAGTAAACAAATGGGCATTTCTCCAGTAGTCAGAATGTCTACGTGTTCCTGTATTCTTAGCCCTTAATATATACATATTAATGGATAAGGGCTTGATTGACTCCTACATATTATGATGATATGTAGGTGGCCAGTTTTTTGTAGACATGGAAAAAATCCGTTGAGTTGGGATTTTGAAATAACACAGGCGAAAGGGTAGAGTGTTCCAAGTTTGAAGGCAGAAAGGAAGAAAGCTCTGGCCCCCATTGTAGTCATTTTGTCTGTGGGGACAGTAAGGAGAGAAGCAGATGAGAAACAAAGAGAACGGGGCGGTGTGTGTGGGTTCTTTGGTTGATAAGAAGCCAGTGTAGTTGATTAAGAACCAAAGTGATATGATCTGTTGATTTTGTTTGGGTGATGATTCTAGCAGCAGAGTTATGGACATGTTGGGGATGTAGGATATCTTTTGGAGTATACCAGAGAGAAATGCATCACAATAGTCCAGATGTACACTTACAAAATGCACAAACTAGGACCTGAGTGGAGGGTTGGGAGAGAGATGGGCATGTTGATGTGAGCTGTAAATGAAAGAGTGGAGCCCAGAAAACATTTAAACTTTTGACTGTGAAGTCAAGAGAACCAGGAAGTCAACAATGCCAATACTGAGGGGTGGGGATTTAGATAAAGGGATTTGGAACCGATGAAGAGTATTTCACTTTTATTTCTGTTTGAGTTTGTTTATTGTCTTCCAGGAGGCCTGTAAGCGGTTAGTGAGGGCATTTGGGCATGATGTACCTGTATCTTCTCTGCACCTTGGTTAGAATTTGGAATTGTTTATAATTAATAATCTGAAGCTCATTGTGACTCAAGTGACTTTCATGTGTTCCTCATAAAAAGGATCAGAATAGTAAAAAATTGTCGTATATTATGCTTTAGTTAACAATACATGTTGGTTTGTTCAGTGTTTATAGAGTTACGCTGGAGGTTGTTTCCTGTGTGAAATAATTTCTTCATTTTTACAAATGCCTCTCTCATTTAACTGTTTACGTTATAAAATCGTGTTTTATTTCGGTGTCGCATATGACATTCACCATGCAAAACTGTTGTCAGATTTACAACAAAACACGGTGGTAGACAAGATGAATAATGATATTTGGATTGTTCTGCAGAAGCCGAAGTAAACTTATTTCGTCGCTGCGTACCAAAAAAACACCTCCTCAGTGAGGTCATCCTCTCCTCTCGTGTTATTGGAGGATCTAGTCATGTGCGTCCTTTACGCACGCACTTACCGGTCCATTGCATACCTTCATCACATCACTCTCTGGCGAGCTCTTAACCTCCTGGTTACTGCACCATCAAGAATAATATTTTAGCCACAATGCTGCGTGCACCGGGCGCACGTGTCACAAGTGCACGGGTATTTTCCGTCATCATTTGTGTTTACTTCGTAACACACGCGGCTTTGGCTGTTACGCATTATTCTGTTCCAGAAGAGATGGAGGAAGGAGCTGTTGTCGCCAATTTAGCGACAGATTTGGGCTTGGACGTAAAAACACTGAATAAAAGAAGAATACGAATTGACAGCGGGACAAATAAGAAATACCTGGACATCAACAAGGAAACTGGAGAGCTGTATGTTTTGGAAAGGATGGATAGAGAAGCGCTGTGTCCAATTAAAACCACAACTTGCTTTCTGAAACTGGATGCTACAATTGAAAACCCCATACGCATGTTTAATATTGAGGTCGAAGTGACGGACATCAATGACAACGCGCCACATTTCCGTCGTGGGACGATGCATTTGGACATTTCTGAGTCAAGTCCAGAAGGAGAAAGGTTTTCTTTAAATAACGCGGTGGATCCAGACGTGGGAACTAATTCAGTTAAAGATTATCATCTGAGCACAAGCGAATATTTTAGTATAGAAATCCAAACGGGCAGAGACGGGACCAAGTTTGCAGATTTGATTTTGAAGAAGGCGTTGGACAGAGAGCACCAGGCTGTTCATAATCTGATTCTCACGGCGGTGGACGGAGGGGCCCCGACGCGCACAGGTACAGCCAGCATTATTGTGCGTGTGCTTGACGTGAACGACAACGCCCCTTCATTTGAGGAGGACAAGTACGCTGTTAATGTTCTGGAAAATTCCCCCATTGGCAGTTTAGTGATTAAACTAAACGCTACAGATTTGGACGAAGGCTCCAACTCTGATTTAGTTTACTCCTACAGCCTGTACACGTCAGAGAGGACACAGAACATGTTCAGTCTGAACCCGGACAACGGTGAAATCAGAGTGAGAGAAATGATCAATTATGAAGATTTTAAATTGTATGAAATGGAGGTTATTGCCAGAGACAAGGGGCCTAACCCATTATCTGGACAATGTAAAGTGAACATACAGGTCACAGACATGAATGACAATCACCCAGAAATCTCAATTAAATCTTTCCAAAGTCCGATTAAAGAAAATGAGCCCATAGACACAGTGATAGCTGTAGTCAGTGTCAGTGACAAAGACTCAGGAAAAAATGGAGAGGTACATCTCCATGTTCCTTCTCATATGCCTTTTAAACTGAGGCAGTCCTCTGATAATTATTATGAACTGGTGCTGTCTGAGCCTTTAGACCGGGAGAAGGTCCCAGAGTATGACATCACCTTCACTGTCACAGACAGAGGCTCTCCTCCATTATCTGACAATGTGACTATGACTTTAGAGCTGCTGGATGTGAACGACAATGTGCCACAGTTCCCCCAGTCCTTTTACACCATACGTGTCCTGGAGAACAACGCACCAGGAGCTCTGCTCGGCTCACTCACAGCCTTTGACCCCGACCTCCATGAGAACCAGTATCTAGTCTACTTCATCCTGGAGAAGGAGGTGGCCAACACCTCCATGTCCATGCTGTTCTCCATCAACCCAGAGAACGGGAACTTGTACGCTCTCAAGACCTTTGACTATGAGATAGAGAAGGAGTTTCTGTTCCACATCGAGGCCAGAGACTCAGGCTCTCCTCCTCTGAGCAGTAACGTGACCGTACACATCATTGTTGTGGACCAAAACGACAACGCTCCGGTCATCGTGTCCCCGTGGCGTGCACACGGCTCCGTGGTGGAGGAGAAGATCCCCAGGTCCACTGATAAAGGCTCGCTGGTGGCCAAAGTCATAGCTCTGGACACTGACTCTGTGCACAACTCTCGCATCACCTACCAGTTTCTACAGGTGACTGACGCCACGCTGTTCAGTCTGGACCAGTACAACGGAGAGATCCGCACCATGAGGATGTTCAGCTACAGAGACCCCCGGCACCAGCAGCTGGTGGTGGTCGCCAAGGACAACGGGCAGCCCTCGCTGTCGGCCACAGTGACCATCAAACTGTCCACGGTGGAGACGGCGGTGAAGGCCTACTCTGACATGACCGAGGTGCCTCTGGAGTACGACATCTTCTCAGACCTGAACCTGTATCTGGTCATTGGTCTGGGCTCGGTCTCCTTCCTCCTGCTCATCACCATACTGGTCACCATCGTGCTCAAGTGTCAGAAACCCAAGTCCAGCAAAGCTCCTCCTCCCAGCAGGAACAGCGTGCTCAGTGAGAGGAACTCCACCATCGCAGACTCCACTCTGGTGTCCAACGATGCCTACTGGTACAGCATGTTCCTGGCAGAGACCAGGAAAGGGAAGCTGGTGGTGAGACAGCCTATGCCCAAAGGCTCCAGATACATAGTGTCCAGTATCCCACGGGGCTCAGGAGTGAGCGACACCAGCGGCTCTGCTCCCTCCACACTGCAGGTAGGCATGTGATCTCTGTCACACATTTATATGCTGAGCCATTGATATACAAGTGTTTCATTTGTTTTAAAGTGTTGCATTTTTGTTTTGTTAAAGATGTGAGTTTAGAACTACTGTTTATATGCTTAATAAACATCTCCTGTAGAATGTTTTAAAATGGTTTTATTTATGACTTACAAACATGCTCACATTCCTGACATTTGAACGTATCAATCATAACTAAATGGTTCATAAAAATTGACTGACAGGATATGCCCAACTCTAGAACAGGTAACTACAAAGACAAAATGTATCATATAAAATGTATCATGATCAAAACTATGTTCAATTTCAATGTTTTCATTCAATTTACTTTTTCTTTTTCCCAATAAAGTATCCAAAGTGAGGGAGACCGAGACGGCACCTGGAGGTATGGCGGACTCCCAATATCTGGATGCTTTAACTCTGTCTGGTTTTTCAGTCAGTTAATTTATTTGTTAACGTCCTTGCTCCCCGGGTTTTCTCTTCTTGCCCCTTTATTCTTTCACTTTTATCCTATCATAGAGTGTAAGCATCATAAGCTTCATATTTTCTTTTCTGTAATTCACTAAATTCTGTATCAAGACACCAAACACCTCATCACAACCATAGGACTGTTTCATTTCATATGCAGGTGTGCCTTCCTTACCTTTTCGTTCAAAGCATTCTAAGTACTAGAAAACATCTAATATGTTTTCTGTCGATGTTTACCTTTATCCCCATTACCATATTCTGCTCATGCACCCTATTGTTGAATTTGCTTGTTTATAAAAGGCCTTTCTCTAATTGTTATTGTTTCGTTACATCAAATTCATTGCACCCCACTTCCTATGTCTGCTACAGTAGTGCGCTCTGACCCATTTCTTTGTGCAGGAAGAGGCAAAGTGGTCCAGTCACCCTGTTACCTAGCAACAGTACCCCCCCCACATGCTCACACTGCATGTTTTTATTTATTTATTTTTCACATCACGGAGCCTCGTCACTGCCAAATGCTGAACGATGTCTCCAATGTTTCTTAACCCTCTGTTCTCTGCCTGAAGCCCCTGCACGAGTGATGGATTTCAGCTGCATGACATGACTGTTTTTGTCACTGCCTTATTTTTATGTTTGCTAATCTGTCTTTTCTCTTTGTCCTCTCTTCTCCAGGGCTCCATCGGCAGCACCAGCAGTGCCAAATGAAGGCCAACCTCCTCCTGATTCATGGAAGCCTCTATTAATGGATTTGCCCACACTTACATGCAAATTATCCACCAGTATTGCGTTCAAACGAGGACATCAAATCTGCTGTTCTTGAGTATAAGCACATACCGTGTCAGCTGCAAAAGCCTCTACCATCCGTGTGTATGCATGAAAAAGACTGCATGGCTTCACCGTTTAAAGAACCAATTATAGAGAGAGACAGGAGGGTTTTTGCCGAAGCCAAATTGGATGTTGGATGGACAGATAAGGACTTTTTGCCTTTTGAAAAATTCCAATCTTAAATATTGTCGCGCTGAAATGAATTATGCAAATTCAAGGGATCCATTCTGTTTCGAACTTGAGGAAGCACAAGTACATATTCAAAACAGTCTTGTCGTTTGTGAGGGTAAACAATTGAAAAGTGACTGTACAAAATATAACTTTAGTATTCCACATCGTGTCCTGCCCCACAGTATTTCAAAAAGGTTTAACATGTTTATTTACTTAATTTAATCATTATTTTTTAACCCTGTCTGACATGTTATGCAAATGTACAATGAGTAATAAAAGCTGGGGTACCTGACTTTATTCCCACCACTAGATTATACCTGCTGTTTGTCCCAGGAGAAAGAATAGTAACATGACCACACCATGCCGTCTTCATCTCATTACCTGGTCCTGGGTTCGAATCCCGGTCGGAGCAGGGCCTTTCTGAGTGGAGTTTGCATGTTCTCCCTGTATCTGCGTAGGTTTCCTCTGTGGTGCTCCGGTTTCCCCTACCACTAAAAACATGTACAATAGTTCTGGCATGCACTCGATGGCGGCCCATTCCCATCTCTGTGAGGAGTGAGTGACAAATGCCCACAATAGTAAAGCGCTTTGTGACTCTGGTCTGTGAAAGGCGCTATAAATATAAAGATTACTAACTTATTGGAACGAAAAATTGCATAAGAAAGAGCCCTGTGAGTCACTATTTGATAGTTTGGTCTTTTTCACTTTTCTTTCTGAAAAATCTGACCTGAAGATGCGGCAGAGGCCAAACAAAGAACCTGCTCATGAAAACTTGTGATAAAACCAAACAGCTTTGAGACCCAGTCCACCAGTCAGACTGTTTCTATTAGATAAGCTGCATTAATTGTAGTTTGAAATGTAGGTACCCCAGCTTTAAGACCTTACAATGATAACCTACTTTCTGAATCAATGTTGTATAAAGTCCAATGGTATCTAAGCTCATGTAGATGTTACCGTTCTGCTGCACTTGTTTTGGAGACTATGAGATGCTATTGCTTGAGGAAGTGATTATAACCAGTGATTGAGCCTTTACATGTGTCATCATTTAGCCCTAACCGATTTCTCATCCATCTGTAGAACTGACTTCACAAATAATATTGCGCCTTGTTTAAAATAATGTTTTTTTACATGTTTTTTTTTAAATGTGAATTGCCATTGACGTAATGATCTTGTTGCTATTATACAGTGACAGTGTTCGAATCTATCACCTGCAGAAAATTAAGTGCGTTTACAGTGAAACTTCATGGTGAGAAATGCAGCGTGTATTTTTTATGTTTTGCTAATATTATTGTGTGTCATTGTGGTTGTGATTTAATAAAGATAGTAATAAAAAAACAAGAAACTGTCTTGGAATGTCAGTGGTGTTTTAATAATTGAAGGGTTCATTTGTAAAAACAGATTCGTAAAAATGTTGTGTTCTTCTATGCTACAATCGTCAACATGTGTTATAAGCAGTAAAGAAGGAGAGAAAGGCATGGGGCTAAAATAGTCACCCCTGAATATATCTGGTTACTCGCAAAACTTTGATGGAGGGCCAAGGCTTTCGAACATTTGTTATATCTGTTTTTGCAAAGGAACTATCCATTTGCTAAGATGAAACAATTGGGTATAGCTACAAGATATATTTATATTCATCAATAAGTTCACAGAAATTATACATTCTTTATAGTTGCATTTAGACACTCTTTTGTTTGTAGAATGTGGAATTACAGTTGTTGCCAATTCATTTAACATGAAAGCAAAACATTTACTTTTAATGCAAAAAAAAGTCTTCAAAATATTGCGTATAACAGGAAATGTTAATATTAATTCCCTACTGAGTAAATCAATCCAGAAAAACACATTTTGAATAAACAAACATTTATTTTCTTTGTTATATCAAATATCATACATGGTTTATTTTGGTTTATTAAGACAATACAATGTAAGAATGCAGTGTTTTACAGGTGTTCACAGATTACCCAAAATTAAAGTCTTGTCATGAAAACAATTGGTTTGAAGAGACAGAACTCATGGCACATCTTCAAAGCTGTTGAAAAAAGACTGGGAGGTTGAGTACCAATGATATCCATCTATGTTGTCACATTCGAGCATTAGAAAGTGCACAATCTGGTTTACTTTTGCTTATTTATTTAAATGATGACAAAACATTATAGCATAAATCTGTTGGAATGAGCACAACAGCTAAACACACGGTTAGATACATATGAGTGACAGAACAGAAAACCTTTACAATGATGAAAGGAAAGTATGTTTAGACTGTTAGCTCACATGTCTACTCATCATGACATAACTATTCTGTTACTAGACCTGTAACTATCTCTATGGGAAATGAGGCTTTCATTTTTGGAGTACCATATCTTTCTCAATACTTACAATAATGATACAAACACTTGATAGATTGAACGGTGTTTATGAGTTTTTCAGGCAAAACGATTATTATGTTTTGGACTGTCCCACTCAAACTGCACAGTACACATGACCCATTGCACCGCCGGTGTTTACTGCCGCCACAAGCGGGCGCCAGTCGTCCAATACATGCCTTAACAGCACGAGTACAACGAAATGAATAATCACTCAGAGCAGACCCTCATTTTTAATAATTTGGTTTATATACATATTTACACACACACATATACATTTTTCATAAAAAAATTGCGAATAATAATAATAATAATAATATAAAATACATTTATATATTTAGACATTGCGCATTGGCCATCTCCGCGTCCGTCTGGCCGCCTCTCACGCTTCCCCTGAATCAGCACCAAGGACAGTGCAGGTCATGCTGTCTGGAGGATGGAGGCTGTGAAAAAGTTGAGTATGGCTGTTTTTCATATTTTGACCTAGATATGTGAAAGCAGCAGCCCCACAGCACATGTCAATCACAACCCAAAATAATCAGAGTGTAGATATTTAAAGCATTGTGCCAGCGCTCTGCGCCTCTGCTCTGAGAGAGGGACTGGGGGATGTGCATTTGAAGCCAGTCGGCAGTGCGACAGGGCGTGTTCCTGCGCATGCGTACATGTTACTAGCACAAGCACAAGCCCTTCTCTCCTCCACCTCTGTTACTCATATATAGGTCATCTCAGTATACGCAGTTATTTCTATGACCATACGGAATTGTGTGAGCTATAGTTTTAATGCTCAATGAAACCTTTAAAAAGGCTCAATTAAACCACACAGACTAGGAGTAAATCAAAACAGGGCAGACTATTGTTACAAAGAAGAGCCTCAAAGTGCTCATGCAGGTTGTATCCAGCAGAGGTCACTGCTCCTCATTGAAGAAAACGAGATTCATGGGCGTGTGTGTGTGTGTGTGTGTGTGTGTGTGTATGAGGGGGGGGGGGGGGGGCGTGCATGCAGCGCTCAGAGGGACTGGATTAAAAGGGACACACATCTGACATCACACTAACAATATAAAGCTGCATAAACTGCATATTTCTGTTTAACAGATCAACACAGGCTCTATAATCTGAACAATGTGGGTTTACTTTGCTCATTATGTTAAAGACAGAGATACGATAAGATAGACTTTGATATCACACAGAAGAAATGTACATGTCACATTTGGCATGGATAGAATCACTCATATTTGTGCAAAAGACAGAAGTGTGCAAACATGTTAAAGGCAAAAAATATGGTCTATTCAGGATATATTATGTACAATAAAAAGTAGCAATTAAAGAAACAGAAGCATTATTTATTCTATAGACATTGTCAACAGAACTCAAGGCACTCTGGTATTGAGTAAAAATATTATAAATACATAATACTTGGCACAGTTACAAAACAAGCTTCCTAATGTATAAACTATTGCTTTAAAGTTGTTACAATCAACATATACGACATAATACATTTTATTAAAGTAAATATAACGTACTCATGTTGAATCCTGCAGTAACAAAAGTATAGATATTTCTAACACGTGAATTCTGACAGTCAGAAAAAATATAGGGAAAAATAAAGTGAAATAACTACAAACGTCTTAGTAATTTGCCCCTTTCAGCCTAACCACAGCCTTGAGCCGATAGGTGGCGCTAATACGCTTTGCATTTTGAAGGAGGCGCTCGTGTTGAAGCTCGGTGCTTAACGAGTCGAAGAGCACAAAGGATGTGAGGAAGACTGCGCAGTATTTTTCTTTTTCATCAAACGAGCTTTTTTTCCTTCGCATTAAATTTATAATAATGAAATATACAATGAGAACTAACGTGGTCCGACAACAATGGCTGAAGTCGTGGATTATTGGCCTCACGATGCTGACATTCGGAGGAACTGCTGCTCAAGTACGCTATACTATGAACGAAGAAATGAAAAAGGGCACAGAACTGGGGAACGTGGCTAAAGACCTTGGATTAGATCTCCGGAGACTCATGGAGAGAAACCTGCGTGTGGTCTCGGGAACAAAGCCAGACTTGTTCCAAATCAACCCTGAGGATGGACGCTTGTCTGTGAACAACCGAGTGGACAGAGAGGAGCTTTGCGCAAAAACAACTCCTTGTATTATTAATCTGAAGGCTGTTGCGGAAAATCCTTTGGAAATGCATCAGTTAATAATCGAAATACAGGATATAAACGACAATGCTCCCGGGTTTCCAGACGAAAAATACGTTATAAATATATTTGAATCCGCCGTTGCCGGGTCTCGGTTTCAGTTAGAAGGAGCGCAAGATTTGGATGTTGGGATAAATTCCTTACATTCCTACAAAATGATGCACAGCCAATATTTTCGTCTTGAAACTGAAGAATTTGGGGAGGATGGAAAAGTGCCATTTCTCATTTTACAGAGACAATTAGATAGAGAAGAAAAGGCCCAACATTTTCTTCAAGTAACTGCTTCAGATGGAGGCAAACCACCAAAGTCAAGCACTAGTAATATTACAATAGTTGTGTCGGACATAAATGACAATCCACCAATATGTGGTAAACAGAAATATAGTGCCATAATAAAGGAGAACGCGCCCATTGGGACATTTCTGCTGATTGTCAACGCCTCTGATGCAGACACTGGAGCAAATGGTGAGGTTGAATACTTTATAAGAAGTAAATTTAGAGGGGTATCCTCCGAGCCATTTGAGTTGGACAGTGCAACCGGGAGGATGAGTGTAAAGGCCGAGCTCGACTTTGAAGAGAAGCAGTTTTATGAAATAAAAGTAGTTGCTGCTGACAAAGGCTCTGTGCCCCTGTCTACGCACTGCAACGTGATTATAACAGTAGAAGATGTAAATGATAATCAACCTGAAATTGACATCACCTCGCTCTCGGGTCGAATTGCTGAGGATGCACCAATGGGCACAGTAGTGGCTCTGATGTTAGTGACCGACAGGGACTCAGGCCTAAATGGTCAAGTCTCCTGCAGCATTGCCTCTGATTTGCCATTTGATTTGAAACAGTCAGTTGATGGCCATTCATACTCATTGGTAACTAAGGGAAAACTTGACAAGGAACAAAAACAAATCTATGATATTGCAATCTTGGCAAAAGATTCAGGAAACCCCTCCCTGTCGTCCACCAAATATATTCACGTGAATGTAGTTGATGTGAATGACAACCGGCCGATATTTTCTCAAAGTCCCTACATATTTCATTTATTTGAAAACAATGAACAGGGATCCTCCATACTGACAGTGTCTGCATTTGATACTGACGAGGGAGATAATTCTGTAATTTCATATTCAATAGACAGTAAGGGGCTGGTGACTTCATTTCTCAATATTAACAGTGAAAATGGTCAAATCACGGCCCTGAAAAGCTTTGACTTTGAGACTTTAAAGTCGTTCCAGTTTCAAGTGGTGGCCTCAGACTCTGGGACTCCGTCACTGAGCAGCAACGTGTCAGTGCATGTGTTCATTCTGGACCAAAACGACAACGCTCCAGTCATTCTGTATCCAGTCAGCTCTAACGGTTCTGCTGAAGGAGTGGAGGAGATCCCCCGCAATGTGAACGCAGGACACTTGGTGACTAAAGTCAGGGCCTATGACGCGGACATCGGATATAACGGCTGGCTGCTGTTTTCACTGCAGGAAGTGACTGACCACAGTCTGTTTGGCTTGGACCGCTACACAGGACAGATCAGGACACTTCGCTCATTCACAGAGACAGACGAGGCCCAGCACAAACTCGTCATACTGGTCAAAGACAATGGCAACGTGTCGCTCTCAGCTACAGCTACTGTGCTTGTCAAAGTGGTGGAGGCCAGAGAGGCGTCTGCAGCTTCTGACGTGAAGAGCTCCGCTAAAGACGCTGAGGACACTAATGTGACTTTTTACCTGATGATAACTCTGGCCTCGGTCTCAGCTCTGTTCATTATCAGTATCATTGTGCTGATTGCAATGCAGTGCTCCAAGTCCAGCACTGACTACACCTCCAAGTACTTACAGGACACAAACTATGACGGGACTCTGTGCCACAGCATCCAGTACAGATCTGGAGACAAGCGCTACATGTTAGTGGGACCCAGAATGAGCGTAGGCTCCACTATAGTCCCAGGGAGCCAAGCCAACACACTAGTGCTGCCGGACAGGAGGAGGCCCTCTGAGGAGGTAAGAGTCAAATGTGACATTGTGTCCAGTTCTTATTAACATTCATAATGTTGTGCATCATAAGGGCTGATAAATTTGATTGGAATATAAATAAACATTATAGTTAATAATGAACCCACATTTGATTATTTTTCTCTTTAAAATTTAGTCGTAAATTTTCTTTCATTTGAATTAATATTGGTATACAATAATAGTTTAACATTTTTGGTGCCAAATTAGTTCAATTGCAACATGAGCTCCTGACTACATCACTTTCTCTTGAGCAAACTAACTTCCAACAAATTTCTAATAAATAATAAAAAAAAAAAAAAAATAATTACATTTCTAATCAATAAAAAATATATACTTTTATCTCCGGTAATATTTCAGGCTTTTGTTTGATTTTCGTGTTAATTGTATAGTGATGTACATATTACACGAATGGATAGTTCCTCTAAAGAAAAACACCAGACGAGATTGATTTACGAATCTTTTTTTATGTAAAGTGGAGAATATAGACTATAGAAGGGCAGAGGTGTCTCAGCTCTCTCGCACTCGAACCTAAATTACACGAAAGCGCCACCTGTTGGTACAATGGTGACACTGAATTAACACAAGTTATGCATTTGAATGTATGTAAATACAATGTAATGTGCCCAGTGTGTTAAACAGCATGCACCGTGTATCACTGATGTATGTTTTCACGACCGCTGTCCATGGTGCTGAAGGCAACAGGATTTCAAATGCACATTGTCGTCTAAATGTTTTCCAGCTTCGTATTTAACTATTAGTTAAAGGCTGGGCTCAATGTAGTTCATTCAATATAATATCGTAATCTTGTTATAATAAATGAGCCCAACTGTTCTTACTTTGGCCTCACGGTGGCAGTCTCCAACAGACAAACGTCTCCACTTGTTTGTCCCTCCTCTCGCAGCGCTTTGTTTCCATTTTACTGAAGCGGAGAGGTCACTTGTGCGTAGCGTTATGCGGACTAAGCTTTTTGTCTCATGTTTTTATTTCAATAGATGCTTTTAAAGGGATTTTAGAGGAAAATGAAGCGGTCTTTTCCACCAGGGATCTGCTCTTGGATCGGTTTGTGCTCAGTTCTGCTGCTGTGTTTCGGACAGTGCGCTGTGGCTCAGATCAGATACTCTGTCCCGGAGGAGGTGAGGGACGGGACTGTTGTTGGAAATGTCGCAAAGGATCTTGGTCTGGATGTGTCCTCTTTGCGTGAGAGACGGTTCCGTGTTGTTTCTGAATCAAATGATGATATTTTTGCGGTAAACGCAGATGACGGCGCTTTGTACGTCCACGGCCACATTGACAGAGAGCAGCTGTGTCAGGGCAGCGGTACGTGCCTGATGGAGCTGAAGGTTCTGGTAGAAAACCCTTTGGAAGTTCATTATGTGGTTGTAGAAGTCACTGACGTCAATGATCACGCTCCCACTTTTCCTAAAGGAAACGAAACTATAGAAATAGCAGAACATACTCTGTCTGGAAAAAGATTCCAGCTTCACCCTGCTAATGATCCTGACGCAGGAGTAAACGCTATTCGAACCTACACGTTGTCTGCTAACGAAAATTTTGACATCAATATCCGTGAAACTGATGGTGAAAAAATCCCATTTCTGGTACTGAAAAAAATACTGGACAGAGAACAAAGCAGTGAACATTTTCTGGTGGTGACAGCAGTTGATGGAGGTAAACCCCGAAGATCAGGGACACTGAATGTTTCCATTATTGTTCTTGATAGTAATGACAACATACCAGTTTTTAGTCAAGAGATTTATGAAATTACAGCGAGAGAAGATGTAAAAACAGGCGCCACTATATTTAGGCTCACAGCAACAGACCCAGACGAAGGAACAAACGGAGAAATTGAATATAGTTTGTCAAAATCTATGAAGCATAGAATCTATGATATGTTTGAACTAGACACAAACACAGGGGATATTATTGTCAAAGGACAGATCGATTATGAAGAAAAAACTTATTATGAATTAGAAGTACAAGTGTCAGATAAAGATACGCCCCCATTGACAGGAGAATGCAGAGTAATAATAAAAATCCTAGATGTTAATGATAATTCCCCTGAAATAGAAGTGACCTCTTTGTCAAACACAGTGTCTGAAAACTCCAAACCAGGGACAGTAGTTTCTCTCATCCGCGTCAAAGACAAAGACTCTGGAGTGAATGGTAAAATCATCGCTCACATCACAAACAACGTGCCTTTTGAGCTCAAACCCTCGTATAAAGAAAACACATATTCAGTTGTCACTAAAGACTTCCTGGACAGAGAGAAGGTTTCTAATTATGACATAAGAATAAAAGCCACTGACTGTGGAGAGCCTCCTTTATCCACCACTAAAACTCTCAGTATTCAGATATTAGATGTGAACGACAACAGTCCACAGTTTGAACACAATCCTCTGTACTTTTATATAGTAGAAAATAACGCGGCAGGGACGTCCCTGTTCTCTGTAACTGCAACAGACAAAGATAAGAATGAAAACGCAGATGTTTCCTACAGAATTGCGCGTTCAGGACAAGAGAAGAACGTGGCGCTCTTTTTAAACGTGAACGCTGAAAATGGTCAAATCACGGCCATGAAAAGCTTTGACTTTGAGACTTTAAAGTCGTTCCAGTTTCAAGTGGTGGCCTCAGACTCTGGGACTCCGTCACTGAGCAGCAACGTGTCAGTGCATGTGTTCATTCTGGACCAAAACGACAACGCTCCAGTCATTCTGTATCCAGTCAGCTCTAACGGTTCTGCTGAAGGAGTGGAGGAGATCCCCCGCAATGTGAACGCAGGACACTTGGTGACTAAAGTCAGGGCCTATGACGCGGACATCGGATATAACGGCTGGCTGCTGTTTTCACTGCAGGAAGTGACTGACCACAGTCTGTTTGGCTTGGACCGCTACACAGGACAGATCAGGACACTTCGCTCATTCACAGAGACAGACGAGGCCCAGCACAAACTCGTCATACTGGTCAAAGACAATGGCAACGTGTCGCTCTCAGCTACAGCTACTGTGCTTGTCAAAGTGGTGGAGGCCAGAGAGGCGTCTGCAGCTTCTGACGTGAAGAGCTCCGCTAAAGACGCTGAGGACACTAATGTGACTTTTTACCTGATGATAACTCTGGCCTCGGTCTCAGCTCTGTTCATCATCAGTATCATTGTGCTGATTGCAATGCAGTGCTCCAAGTCCAGCACTGACTACACCTCCAAGTACTTACAGGACACAAACTATGACGGGACTCTGTGCCACAGCATCCAGTACAGATCTGGAGACAAGCGCTACATGTTAGTGGGACCCAGAATGAGCGTAGGCTCCACTATAGTCCCAGGGAGCCAAGCCAACACACTAGTGCTGCCGGACAGGAGGAGGCTCTCTGAGGAGGTAAGAGTCAAGTGTCAATCTCTGGCATGTTCTAACTAACAACAAAATACAATGCCATTGGTCAAGAAGACGATACTTTTTATTCAGCATTGAAGCGTTATTAATTTACAAATTAATGAGCATTTTCTTTTTAAACTTCATGTCTTTGTTTGACTAGAATTAGTTTCGATAGTTTTCACCAAAGAAGCTGAATGGCTACATGAAGTCACGTCTTCATCAGTTTTAGTGGCCTGACTTGTTGTTACAATGACATTTATAATTCACTTCGATGAACACTGTTAAGCTAATTGGGAAATATATATATACATATGTATATATATATATATATATGTATGTATACATATATATATATATATATATATATATATATATATATATATATATATATATATATATATATATATATATATATATTATATATATATATATATTATATATATATATTTTATTGGTAGCGTTATTTCATGTTGAAAAGGTAGAGAGAGCGTTATTTTATAGACATGAGGTTTCACCAAACGTTGTTTTGAATATTTCCTCTTTTGTCTCCTATTCTTTGTATGAAAGTGTAAAACATACAAAATAATATGACAAAATAATGCAGATAATTCCTCTCTGAGTATTGTAGTGTTTGCTCAAATGATACATTGTTGAAGTGGTTTGATGTTGTATGTTGGGCTCATCACTGTCCGTGGTGCTGAATGATCCACAACTCTTGTCTCTTTTTCTGTTACACTTCCAAATTTATATCATGTGTATTTAGTCAGACTCATCTTTTGAATCTTGTTTTGATCTAATTGTAAATGATAAGTGGGACAGTGACCCTCCTGTGGGTGACCAGGAGGTGGCACGTCTGAACACATAAACTCCGGTCTCACTTTGCCCCTCCCCTCAGAGATCCTTTTGTTTCCCCTTTGGCTGAAACGGAGGCCATTTGTGTTTCACGTAAGCCCGTGGATTCAACGTGCTTTTCTTGTATTGTAGATACAATTTTTAAGTGAATAATTTCACTAAACATTTCACTGAAGACAATGGGATTCGAAGAATATTGTCCCCCCTGCGGACTCCGTGTGTGGATTGGTTTATTCTTTACACTGCTGCTGCTTTTCGGACAGTGCGCTGTGGCTCAGATCAGATACTCTGTCCCGGAGGAGGTGAGGGACGGGACTGTTGTTGGAAATGTCGCAAAGGATCTTGGTCTGGATTTGTCCTCTTTGACAGAACGGCAGTTCCGTGTTGCGCCTGGATCAAAGGAAAGTATTTTTGCAGTAAACGCAGATGACGGCGCTTTGTACGTCCACGGCCACATTGACAGAGAGCAGCTGTGTCAGGGCAGCGGTACGTGCCTGATGGAGCTGAAGGTTCTGGTGGAAAACCCTTTGGAAGTTCATTATGTGGTTGTAGAAGTCACTGACGTAAATGATCACGCTCCCACTTTTCCTAAAAATAATCAAACCTTTGAAATCGGAGAACACATTTTGCCTGGGAAGAGACTTCAGCTCCACCCAGCGCTAGACCCCGATACAGGAGTGAATTCTATCCGCACCTATATACTGTCTGTGAATGAACATTTTGACATAAACATCAGAGAGAGTGACTCAGGTAAAATACCCTTTCTGGTTTTAAAGAAATCTTTAGACCGAGAACAAAGCAGCAAACACACGCTGCGTCTCACTGCGGTAGATGGCGGGAAACCACACAAGTCTGGGATACTGAATATCACTATAATAGTTCTGGACAGTAATGATAATAAACCCGTGTTTACACAAGAGGTTTATCATATTACAGTGACAGAGAATTTGGAAATAGGAAACGTAATATTTAAGCTTAACGCGACTGATGCTGACGAGGGAATAAACGGAGACATTGAGTACAGCCTCGGGGAAACAGTGAGCCCAGCTGTGTATAGAACATTTGAATTAAATAAATTAACAGGAGAACTTGTAACCAGAGGTTCTGTAGACTTTGAAGAAACCGATCACTACGAAATAGACGTTGAAGCGTCAGATAAAGGCATGCCCCCGTTGACAGGAGAATGTAGAGTAATAATAAAAATCCTAGATGTTAATGATAATTCCCCTGAAATAGAAGTGACCTCTTTATCAAACACAGTGTCTGAAAACTCCAAACCAGGTACAATTATATCACTAATAAGTTTAGCAGACAAAGACTCCGGATTGAATGGTAAAATCATCGCTCACATCACAAACAACGTGCCTTTTGAGCTCAAACCCTCGTATAAAGAAAACACATATTCAGTTGTCACTAAAGACTTCCTGGACAGAGAGAAGGTTTCTAATTATGACATAAGAATAAAAGCCACTGACTGTGGAGAGCCTCCTTTATCCACCACTAAAACTCTCAGTATTCAGATATTAGATATGAACGACAACAGTCCACAGTTTGAACGCAGTCCTCTGTACTTTTATATAGTAGAAAATAACGCGGCAGGGACGTCCCTGTTCTCTGTAACTGCAACAGACAAAGATAAGAATGAAAACGCACATGTTTCCTACAGCATTGCGCGTTCAGGACAAGAGAAGGACGTGGCGCTCTTTTTAAATGTGAACGCTGAAAATGGTCAAATCACGGCCCTGAAAAGCTTTGACTTTGAGACTTTAAAGTCGTTCCAGTTTCAAGTGGTGGCCTCAGACTCTGGGACTCCGTCACTGAGCAGCAACGTGTTAGTGCATGTGTTCATTCTGGACCAAAACGACAACGCTCCAGTCATTCTGTATCCAGTCAGCTCTAACGGTTCTGCTGAAGGAGTGGAGGAGATCCCCCGCAATGTGAACGCAGGACACTTGGTGACTAAAGTCAGGGCCTATGACGCGGACATCGGATATAACGGCTGGCTGCTGTTTTCACTGCAGGAAGTGACTGACCACAGTCTGTTTGGCTTGGACCGCTACACAGGACAGATCAGGACACTTCGCTCATTCACAGAGACAGACGAGGCCCAGCACAAACTCGTCATACTGGTCAAAGACAATGGCAACGTGTCGCTCTCAGCTACAGCTACTGTGCTTGTCAAAGTGGTGGAGGCCAGAGAGGCGTCTGCAGCTTCTGACGTGAAGAGCTCCGCTAAAGACGCTGAGGACACTAATGTGACTTTTTACCTGATGATAACTCTGGCCTCGGTCTCAGCTCTGTTCATTATCAGTATCATTGTGCTGATTGCAATGCAGTGCTCCAAGTCCAGCACTGACTACACCTCCAAGTACTTACAGGACACAAACTATGACGGGACTCTGTGCCACAGCATCCAGTACAGATCTGGAGACAAGCGCTACATGTTAGTGGGACCCAGAATGAGCGTAGGCTCCACTATAGTCCCAGGGAGCCAAGCCAACACACTAGTGCTGCCGGACAGGAGGAGGCCTTCTGAGGAGGTAAATTATTACTAACTGTCATTATATTTTAGCTCTGTTGTACATTTGTTGCACTGTTTTAAATGTGATTTTTTTTTGAAGCATCTACAACGTAAGGATCACCTAATTTCGCCTGCTCCTTCTTGAATTGTGATACTCAAATGGAAATGCTTATTGTGTGGACATCTTGTGTCTGATTTTGTGTTATGATGCCTCATTTGAAAGGTAACACCTTCTAGTTTCTGGAAATTTATGTTACCGTTTGTTAGGAAGGACCCAGTCTGCACTACACCTTCTCAAACATGAGTCAAAGTTAGTTTTTTTTGTCTCGAAAAAAAAAAGGCAATTTCAAAATAATCTCCTGAAAACATACTTTATGGTATGTTGTTCAAACTCACCAGAGCAGATGTCTGTGGTGTTGGCAACAAGTGTAGGAAATTTTAGACCTTTAGGTGGAACCATTTTGATGCTGGGGGCTTTTTTGTGACTAATGGGCACATTCGGCACAAGTGGTCCATTTTTGTGCCAATTGTGCCAAAGTGTTTTACATGCAAATTATCAATGTTTTTACACCAAAAATCAAATTATATCATTTTTTGGCTATTACTCTTGCTATAAATAGGATTTTTTCCAGATATTGAAATGTTTGCAGAAAAGCTATTATTTATATAGATATAGCGCGTGTTCTCCGTGAAAATGCTCCGCCTTCCTCTCTTACGCATTCAAATAAGACTCGAACAGTGGGAGGAACCTTGAAGTCCGACACATCGCCTGAAACCTGAGATTATTGGCTACAAGATGGTTTGATTGACATCCAAATCGGCCAATGGTAGTCAAGACAATGCTGTCGTGACGCACAGATATCTATATGACTGGAGCGGTAAAGTTAGGTGCGCTTGTTTTAGTCAACTTGATCTACCTCCCAAACCATAGCACTGAAAAGTCCGGGAATGGGCTTGTTTTGAAGGGGAGGCTTAGGGGAAGACGAACATACCCAGTGACGCTAGGTAAATAGTAACATGCCTACTTCATACAGTGCGCCAAGAACAGGTTTTATTTTCGTTTGTGCAACTTTCAATACTCAAATGTGTCGTTACAACTGGATATCTACTATAAGGATGACTTTGTAGAAAAAACAACTGGATATAATTATTCTATGAACCCTCACGAACAAAACGAATGCACACATGTGTGGATTAGACGTGATTTGCCCCAGAATATTAGCATAAAAAGGTAAGAAAGGACGATATATATTTTATATACATATACAGTTTGACTACTTTTTCTTACTTTTAGTTATATGTAATGTTTATTTTAACATAATACGCGTTTAGAGGTGGGAATAAGCTTTCAAAAGAGGTATAGCTTGACTATATTGACACAAGTGAATTCTAATACTGATGCTGTTAAATGAAAAATATCTGAATCCTCCCTGTACAGGGAGGGTGATCCTTAAAAGGTTGAGGAAACGTATAACAATAGTATTAATGTATAATGCTGCCTCTGGTTCAGTTCACACTCCTTCACACTAGGACCCAATCATCCTGATTTTACTAGAATTCATTCAAACCAAATTGGTTTCAGCCAAATCAGTTCACTTGACTGTATAATATAACTTGAATTACAACAAAGGCTAAATGTTAGCGGCTGACAGTAAACAGTGTGTTGTTAAGGCCTTTAGTACTGGCTCAAGGAGCTAATGGTAGAACTAGTCACATTTCAAAAAAGAGGATATTTAAATCGAAGTAATGACATGGAAATAAAATACATACCGTTTAATAAAAGTTTAGTTATGTAGACTAAAATGTACATACGTTGAGTAATAATTCTTCCAAAACTAAAAGCCGTAAAGTTGACTGTTCTGTTCTGTTATAACCTGTGTCTGCAATGATTGTCTGGTAAAAGGTACCAACAAATGCCTGACAAATATTTGTGTGTACTGATTTTCACCAGTGACAATTTTTTAGAACGTGCTCTGTCTACGAGTCACTGGGTGGCAGTGCTTCATTGGAGTAAAATACACCATGTCGCACAGACCCGCCTCTTCTGTTGTTCCTTTGGGGTGGTGTGCTTGCTGAACATTTATGCGGATTATTGCTTTTTGGTTGGATGCTATTTCTATCGGCTTTTTCATTTTCACAGACATAACGGGAAACTCGACAATAATCATGTCTAAAATGAGATATACTGTTGGAGTTTTTACCTCGCGTTACGGCGTCAAACGGAGAGAATGGACACAGCCGCTCATTCATCTCGTCATTGTGTCGATGTTGTTGGTTTCATCAGGAAAGGCATCTTCTCAGTTAAAGTATGGCATTTCAGAAGAGCTTCCAGAGGGACGTGTGGTTGGAAATATAGCCAAAGATTTGGGCATCGAGCAGAATGTTCTGAGACAAAGAGCTTTTCGTATTATGTCAGACGCGGCTGAAACGCTCTTCAGTGTGAACGGGAATAATGGCGAGCTTTATTCAAACAGGAAAATAGACAGGGAGGCAGTTTGTAAAGATAACAATGCCTGTTTCATTCACCTAAAAGCCGTTTTAGACAATCCACTAGAGGTGCATTATATCATGGTGGAAGTAGTAGATCTGAATGACCATTCACCTGCATTCCCGGAGAAAAAAAAACTACTTGAGATTTTTGAGTCTGCCTTACCAGGAACTAAATTTCAATTACCAAACGCGTATGATCCAGACGCGGGTTTGAATACCGTTCAACAATATAAACTTAGTCAAAATGAGCATTTTCGTTTAGAAGTGAAAGATCGAGGTAAAGATGGCAAAACTCCTGTGTTGCAGTTACAAAAGCAGTTAGACAGAGAGACGAAAAGCTCACACAGGATGGTGTTGACAGCGTTAGATAGCGGAACCCCCTCAAAATCAGGCACTGTTGAGATTGTAATAGATGTTTTGGATGTCAATGACAACATGCCTGTTTTCACTAAAGAGTCCTACGCTGCTGCGCTACAAGAAAATGCAGTAATTGGCACGACAGTGATTCAAGTTAACGCAACAGACTTGGACAGTGGGTCTAATGGAGAAGTGATGTATTCTTTCAGCGGTGAGGTCAAGGACAAAGTAAAAGATGTATTTAGGATCGACCCACAAACAGGGGAAATAACTGTTGTGGGTAATGTTGATTTTGAAGAGGAAGATAGTTATGACATTGACGTGCAGGCGTCTGATAAGGGCAGCATCCCATTTCGAACGGATAAAAGTGTCATAATAAAAATAATGGATGTGAACGACAATCATCCTGTGATAGAAGTGGCGTCTTTGTCAGGTGCCGTGCCCGAAGACAGTCGCCCAGGAACAACTGTTGCTTTAGTTAGTATTACTGACTTAGACTCTAATTTAAATGGAAAAATACTGAGTTACATTCCCAAAGAAAGTTCCTTTATTATGAAACCATCTGTTCAGAGCAACATGTTTGTAGTGGTCACCAAATCAGCGCTGGACCGGGAACAGCACGACTTCTTTGATATAAGCATAATGGCAGAAGATGCTGGAGAACCAACATTAAGTTCTGAAAAAACCATGAGAATAACAGTGTCGGATATAAACGACAACAGCCCAGAGTTTAATCTGCCAATGTATCGTATGTATATCACCGAAAACAACGCCCCGGGAGAATCTGTATTTTCAGTGAAAGCCTCTGATCTTGACGACGGAGAGAACGCACGCATTTCTTATCAAATACACAGGAGAGGATCAAATGAAAACAACATCTTATCTTTTCTTAATATAAATACTGAGACAGGTGATATTGTGGCCCTGAAAAGCTTTGACTTTGAGACTTTAAAGTCGTTCCAGTTTCAAGTGGTGGCCTCAGACTCTGGGACTCCGTCACTGAGCAGCAACGTGTCAGTGCATGTGTTCATTCTGGACCAAAACGACAACGCTCCAGTCATTCTGTATCCAGTCAGCTCTAACGGTTCTGCTGAAGGAGTGGAGGAGATCCCCCGCAATGTGAACGCAGGACACTTGGTGACTAAAGTCAGGGCCTATGACGCGGACATCGGATATAACGGCTGGCTGCTGTTTTCACTGCAGGAAGTGACTGACCACAGTCTGTTTGGCTTGGACCGCTACACAGGACAGATCAGGACACTTCGCTCATTCACAGAGACAGACGAGGCCCAGCACAAACTCGTCATACTGGTCAAAGACAATGGCAACGTGTCGCTCTCAGCTACAGCTACTGTGCTTGTCAAAGTGGTGGAGGCCAGAGAGGCGTCTGCAGCTTCTGACGTGAAGAGCTCCGCTAAAGACGCTGAGGACACTAATGTGACTTTTTACCTGATGATAACTCTGGCCTCGGTCTCAGCTCTGTTCATCATCAGTATCATTGTGCTGATTGCAATGCAGTGCTCCAAGTCCAGCACTGACTACACCCCCAAGTACTTACAGGACACAAACTATGACGGGACTCTGTGCCACAGCATCCAGTACAGATCTGGAGACAAGCGCTACATGTTAGTGGGACCCAATGAGCGTAGGCTCCACTATAGTCCCAGGGAGCCAAGCCAACACACTAGTGCTGCCGGACAGGAGGAGGCCCTCTGAGGAGGTAAGAGTCAAGTAATTGCGATTGAATAAAAGATGAAAGTAATTTATGAGGCTATGTTTGATCTTCCTGTTTTGCATTGTAATCAAACATGTTTGTTTGGGGTATTGCATTGATTAAAAATTGTTTATTATTGGTTTTAACTTTTTAGGCGACAAAGTGGATCAATTGAATTTAGAACATGACTTTCACTTTCTCTACAGCGGCCTTATTTATGACTAGATTAGATATATTTCATGGTTCCATATAAACTCTCTTTACATACATAGATAATTATCAGTTCATTTATTTCCTGTTTATTTGTGAAGTCTTCTGAGTCTTCCGACTATAGTCTGAAAACATATTTTCGTCATTATATTGATGTAGTGCGTGTTGTACGTTTCAAGTAAAGATATAATTACACTGGAGAGAAACAATAGAATAGATTCTTTATTCAAAGTTAATAAACGGTAAACGAAAGTTTTTGAGCTCTCTCAGACCCAAGCATAAATGGTCTGATAGCGCCACCTGTTGGTACAGTGGTGACACTGAATATACAGAGTAATGGTTTTTAATTCATGACAATGCAATGTCACGTGTCCAGTGTGTTAAACAGCACCGTGAATTAGCTTTAAACGTTTAGAAAAACAGAGGAGTGCTCGTTTACTCTATTGTGTGTTTTCACGAACGCTGTCCATGGTGCTGAATGAGACAGTATTTCAGTTGCACATTGTTGTTTAAATGTTTTCCTGCTTCGTTTTTTAACTATTAGTTAAAGGCTGGGCTCGATGTAGTTCATATCAATATTGTTATAACATTAGCTCAGCTCTTCCTTCTTTGGCCTCACGGTGGCAGTCTCCAACAGACAAACGTCTCCACTTGTTTGTCCCTCCTCTCGCAGCGCTTTGTTTCCATTTTACTGAAGCGGAGAGGTCACTTGTGCGCAGCGTTATGCGGACTATGCTTTTTGACTCATGTTTTTATTTCAATAGATGCTTTTAAAGGGATTTTAGAGGAAAATGAAGCGGCCTTTTCTACCAGGGATCTGCTCTTGGATCGGTTTGTGCTCAGTTCTGCTGCTGTGTTTTGGACAGTGCGCTGTGGCTCAGATCAGATACTCTGTCCCGGAGGAGGTGAGGGACGGGACTGTTGTTGGAAATGTCGCAAAGGATCTTGGTCTGGATGTGTTCTCTTTGCGTGAGAGACGGTTCCGTGTTGTTTCTGAATCAAATGAAGATATTTTTGCAGTAAACGCAGATGACGGCGCTTTGTACGTCCACGGCCACATTGACAGAGAGCAGCTGTGTCAGGGCAGCGGTACGTGCCTGATGGAGCTGAAGGTTCTGGTAGAAAACCCTTTGGAAGTTCATTATGTGGTTGTAGAAGTCACTGACGTCAATGATCACGCTCCCACTTTTCCTAAAAATAATCAAACCTTTGAAATCGCAGAACACATTTTGCCTGGGAAGAGACTTCAGCTCCACCCAGCGCTAGACCCCGATACAGGAGTGAATTCTATCCGCACCTATATACTGTCTGCGAATGAACATTTTGACATTAACATCAGAGAGAGTGACTCAGGTAAAATACCATTTCTGGTTTTAAAGAAATCTTTAGACCGAGAACAAAGCAGCAAACACACGCTGCGTCTCACTGCGGTAGATGGCGGGAAACCACAAAAGTCTGGGACACTCAATATCACTATAATAGTTCTGGACAGTAATGACAATAAACCAGTGTTTACACAAGAGGTTTATCATATCACAGTGACAGAGAATTTGGAAATAGGAAACGTAATATTTAAGCTTAACGCGACTGATGCTGACGAGGGAATAAATGGAGAAATTGAGTACAGCCTCGGGGAAACAGTGAGCCCAGCTGTGTATAGAACATTTGAATTAAATAAATTAACAGGAGAACTTTGTAACAAGAGGTTCTATAGACTTTGAAGAAGCAAATCACTACGAAATACATTTCGAGGCATCAGATAAAGGAATGCCCCCGTTGACAGGAGAATGCAGAGTGATAATAAAAATCCTAGATGTTAATGATAATTCCCCTGAAATAGAAGTGACCTCTTTGTCAAACACAGTGTCTGAAAACTCCAAACCAGGGACAGTAGTTTCTCTCATCCGCGTCAAAGACAAAGACTCTGGAGTGAATGGTAAAATCATCGCTCACATCACAAACAACGTGCCTTTTGAGCTCAAACCCTCGTATAAAGAAAACACATATTCAGTTGTCACTAAAGACTTCCTGGACAGAGAGAAGGTTTCTAATTATGACATAAGAATAAAAGCCACTGACTGTGGAGAGCCTCCTTTATCCACCACTAAAACTCTCAGTATTCAGATATTAGATGTGAACGACAACAGTCCACAGTTTGAACACAATCCTCTGTACTTTTATATAGTAGAAAATAACGCGGCAGGGACGTCCCTGTTCTCTGTAACTGCAACAGACAAAGATAAGAATGAAAACGCACATGTTTCCTACAGCATTGCGCGTTCAGGACAAGAAAAGGACGTGGCGCTCTTTTTAAATGTGAACGCTGAAAATGGTCAAATCACGGCCCTGAAAAGCTTTGACTTTGAGACTTTAAAGTCGTTCCAGTTTCAAGTGGTGGCCTCAGACTCTGGGACTCCGTCACTGAGCAGCAACGTGTCAGTGCATGTGTTCATTCTGGACCAAAACGACAACGCTCCAGTCATTCTGTATCCAGTCAGCTCTAACGGTTCTGCTGAAGGAGTGGAGGAGATCCCCCGCAATGTGAACGCAGGACACTTGGTGACTAAAGTCAGGGCCTATGACGCGGACATCGGATATAACGGCTGGCTGCTGTTTTCACTGCAGGAAGTGACTGACCACAGTCTGTTTGGCTTGGACCGCTACACAGGACAGATCAGGACACTTCGCTCATTCACAGAGACAGACGAGGCCCAGCACAAACTCGTCATACTGGTCAAAGACAATGGCAACGTGTCGCTCTCAGCTAGAGCTACTGTGCTTGTCAAAGTGGTGGAGGCCAGAGAGGCGTCTGCAGCTTCTGACGTGAAGAGCTCCGCTAAAGACGCTGAGGACACTAATGTGACTTTTTACCTGATGATAACTCTGGCCTCGGTATCAGCTCTGTTCATCATCAGTATCATTGTGCTGATTGCAATGCAGTGCTCCAAGTCCAGCACTGACTACACCTCCAAGTACTTACAGGACACAAACTATGACGGGACTCTGTGCCACAGCATCCAGTACAGATCTGGAGACAAGCGCTACATGTTAGTGGGACCCAGAATGAGCGTAGGCTCCATAGTCCCAGGGAGCCAAGCCAACACACTAGTGCTGCCGGACAGGAGGAGGCCCTCTGAGGAGGTAATTACATATGTTACATTTTTACCCATATTATGATGAATATTGGTGTATAACCTTAAACTTGACATGTCTTTAAAATAATATAATTAGCATATTAAGCCTACAGGTTGTTCAGCTTTTTAACCCTTTGTGCACGCTTTTGGTAAACAATACAACAAATACCAGTATGACAAGGTGTGTGCTGTGTTTGAATGGATTAAAAGGAAGCATTAGGAGATGTCCTCCGAAGGTTTGGGGTGTCATTCCACCTGTACGCAGATGACAGCCAAATCTATGTGCCCCTAATGCGTAGCAATAACTTTCGCAGCACCCACATTTTGTAGCGCATATCTGAAATCAAAATGTGGATGGCAGCAAACTTTTTACATTTCAATGAAAAAAGAGTGAAGTTCTGCTGGTCAAGCCAAGCAATGACAGCAGTAGCTCCGTGAACCTGGGGCCCCTAACAAATATATCAAACCCACTGTTTCAAAACTTGGATTGAAAATTGATTCTGATTGTCAATTTGAAAACAAGTAAGTGCAGCCCTTGTACACAAGTATCAGCCAGTCCTCACTCGCTCGTCTGCAGCTGGTACAGAACACTGCGGCGCGTCTGTACCAGCTGGAACTTGGAAGAGTGACCATATCTCTCTGGTCCTGTCATCCCTTTTTTGGCTTCCTGTTTGCTATATTAATTTGAAAGTCCTTTTGTTTGTCCATAAATGCCTGAGTGGCCTTGCTTCGTGTTATCTGTCTCATCTACTGACGTCATACGCTCCATGACGTTCTCTCAGGTCGGCAGATCAGGCTCTGCTGTGGGTTCCTCTGACCTAACGGAATATCCAAGGAGATCAAGCTTTTTCCGTTGTTGGTCCTAAATTATGGACAGAACTGCTCCTGTGTATTAGTCTGTCTGACTCACTTCCTATCTTTAAGTCTCGGCTCAAGACTCACTTGTTTTCATTGGCTTTTAATCAATTTTGAATTGATTTTTTTTTTCTGTAAATGTTGTGTTTTTCGCTACTGCTTTGAACTTTCTAATCATATTTTTTTATGTCTTTTTATGTATAGAAGTTTGGTTAACCTTGTTGTTTTTATTAGTGCTTTATGAATAAACTGGACTTGACTATACAAGACTGATAAACATTGTATTAACGTTCAGATGTTAAATGCTTCCGAAGATCTGCCATCTTTGCACCATTATACTAGTGTACACTCGATTAAACATACTCTGACATTCCACAGATGATTTACTGTTTGACTGCTTTCATCATCTCGCCTAACAGTCACAGTTACAGTGTTAGTATATCCAGACTCTCCATGGTGCTGAAAAGTGTCTCCATATTTTGTTCACTTTTTTTGAGGAAGGTGAGCTATAGCCAATCAGTCAAACACAAGAATCAACAACATCACTACTGCGGTTGGAGACTATAGCAGCAGATCTGATACTGGAATATTTACAAAAATGTTGATTAATATGTACTGTCCTTATTTAGAATCAACTAAAAATAATAACAATAATAATAATAATGATAATAATAATAGTTAAACATATTTATTCTGTCATAAATAAGTTAAAAAGAATAATAGTAAAGCGGAACCTTTGAAGAGAGGGCATTTTCACCGATTGATTTAGAGGTGACACTCCCTGTCAATATGCAACCGTGGATCTATAATAATAACGTATTCAACGCGTTGTGTGTCTGCAGGGTCTAATGTTGTATTCGTATGTTGTTCATTTTAGACGTTTACTGGTGTTTTTCCCTCGATATTTTTATGTTAAAAACAGGCCCTGTTGTCACAGTAACGTGACAGTTCCGGTACTCCGGTGGACCTTTTGTTTGTTCGACAAAACTTTAATGTTCATTAATGCATTGTATTTTTAAGAGTCAAACGAAATATATTTCTAGGGGGAAATACTATAAGTGTATTTGGTGTCGAGTCCAGATATAAATAAATGGCTTCATTTAGCGAAGGTATAGTTAAGAACAGTTATCAGATAACATTGTGTGGTCAATGTATTAACAGATTAACATGCATTTTGTGACTCAAAACAAGCCCAGTACACGCATTTATTAACATAATATAAGTTACCGTTTTTTAGTTGAGAAAACAAATATGTTCTTTTTTTAAGTAATGCATGTTCTCATAAAAAAGACCGAATACCCCCACTGCAGCCACTGCTGCTCTCTGACAAACAGCAAACTCGGATGCCATCTACTGGTTATACCGGCACAACGCTGGACCCACATGTAAATTCCCCATATGATATTGACAATGTTTGTTTTTATTTTATTTTGTACGTTTTTCTTCCTATATGCTTATTGTTGAAATAATTTAATTTGACTTTTGAGTGAGGTATATCAAATGGTTAACAATAGGCCAACGTACCATTCTTGTTCTATTATGAAACCAACAAATGAACAATATATACATAATTTTAGATGCTAAAATGAACTGTATAAATATTTCAAAGAAGCAACAGCAAGACGTCATGGGAAGAAAGCAGGCTGAAATATTGTAAGTATGAAGATATGAAGAATTATGATGGACATGTGATGTAATTGTGTTTGCTATACCTGAGACTGTGGATGGAGATTATTTTTGGAGCCGTAATCTGTCGAATTTACATTTGTTCATACACAGCTGTTCATCAATGCCAATTAATACAATAACATGGATCTTTCATTTGTGTACAGAACATAATATTGAAGTGAACATACTGTATATAGAGAAGATTGCTCCAAATGTACACAGACAAAATGGTATGTTTCTCTCAACACATTAACTATTCATGCACTGTCTGAGGAACTTCACGGGGGGATAGCACAGACACAATGTTAAAGTTTACATATACCTCTGATTTGACCACGGTTCTAAAATATCACCATGTACGTGGATATTGTTATTTTTTCAATTAAAATCACAATTTATTCATTAATATTACTACTATATAATACGCCATTCTTTTAATACGTCATTATTATTTTTTTTGCCATTTCTTCATAAATTATTCTAAACTCCTCCCTCTCAGCGCGGCCCACTTTCGCTGCGTCTTCAACAGTATCATCCTCCAAGAATAGAGCAACTGTTCCCTCTAGTGGACAAACATGAGAAGTGCAAGTTCAGGACCGTGACATGGGACAGCTCCCAGCCCTAATGACCTGCGGGACTCACAACAAAGCTCTTGTGTGGACTGAGAAGGGTTCGTGGAATGTCAGGATGCACTATATCAAATGATGTGATGTCGTTTGTGTTGTCGCTGCTCTAACCGACTGCCTCTCGTACTTGTCAAACTCTTTTGGCATGTTTTATTCTTGGAGCGTCCCCGGTGCCTTAGTCATTACCAGAGAAGCCAATCTGGGCCCTTTCGGAGGTCCCCATAGGATGCTCTTCCCCCTCACAAGGTTATGCTGCCCCCTCCCTGCTCTCTCTAAAGACCATTTCCTTATTAGTCGAATTATTTTCTGTCATACAGCGACCCAATTACCCGGCTCTCTATCCCTGGCCGTTCTCCAGTTCTCTCATGATGTTTCCTCAAATGCAGTACGTAAAGGGCACGGCAGAGCAGCCAGGAGCTCGCATCCAGGTGTGGCATTTGGAGAAGAGCCTCTTCCCCTGGTGCTTGTGTTTCTGCCCAGAGTCTTAATTAAAGTGGTATTTCGAGTGAGGTGCTTCTGTTTGTTCAGTTAATGAAGCTGCTATTCTCGAGGGCAAATGGAAATGCAAGCACCCCAATTAGCATATGTTAGCATTTTACTGTGTTTATTCCTCATAGACCAAATGCTAGCCAAGGTAAAAAAGGCCTTGACCTTTGTAAGTATTGAAATGAAACTTTTCCTATTCCAACTCAACTCGCTTTATGTTGTTTCAAGTGTAATGCACGGACAGCTGGGATAATAAGAGGAAAACAAAGATGAAAAATAATATTTTATTGGTATTATTCTATACAGTACATGTGGGATCAGTTCCTCTATTTGAGAAAGCTGCAATATTGCAATTGTATCATAAAACATGTTACACATGTCATATTTCCACAAAATGTTGGCAAAAAGTACAAAGTTCAATTTATATTCAAAATATAAATTCAGAATTTACCAATGTTCTGTGTAACTTTTGGATATTTTTGATTGTCTAAATAATAAAATCATATGTAATGTGCAACAATAATAATCACAATGACCGGGTGAACAGTAGCACACAGGATCTCTCTCTGCTGCCTCCTTCATGCCACAAAGCTCCTGATCCTTGGGATTTGTGGCTGCGTCTAAGGACACGACGATGAGTCTGTCCTTTATTATCGTTTGTATCAAAGTGCTCAGTCATTATACAAGTCATTATTGATCATGGCGGCCTCGCCCTGCGGGGACATTTGGAGACGCCTCTTTTTCCCAAACGTGGAGAAGGAGTTGTGCACGTCCAGCTCGCTCCTGTGCACTACTGGTCGCAGGGTGCAGAAGCCGGAGGGGGTCCCGGGGATGTGGACATTGTGGTGGTAGTCCGGGGGAGGGTGAGGGTGTGGGTGCGAGGGCAGAGATGGCTGCTGCTGCTGAGGAGGGGGTGTGCACCTGGGGGTCCAGGGCCGTGACTGCACACTGCTGGTCGAAGGGGACATCATATATTCTGTTTGTGGAAAGACAAGAGAAGAAACAACTACTCCATTATATAATACAGATTCTGAATGTAGCATTTTGTTCACACAACACTATGACAGTTAACTTTGTGTAGCACACAATTCTGCTGTGTTTGATGGTGAGCCTTAAGTACAATCATATAGTACAATAAGACTGTAAGAGTCCTCACCTTTCATGCCCTTCATGTGGGTCCCCCATGTCCAGTACTGCCCCGGGGCCATTGAGGTCACATAGTTTTCTGGGTCTGTATGCATTGCTTTGCGCATAAGGGTTCCATCCATGTTGATAGAGTTGTAACTGAAAGATTGATTGTGGATTAGATCTTTCCATGTCTCTAAGCACAGTGAATGTAAATTCAGTGATTTACCTTTTGATCGACGAGTTCTGATTCTTTGTAAGAGTCCAGTCTGTGTTGGGCTGCTTCAGCTGTGAAGACAAAGTCAAATATGTAACATATGATTCATTTAAGTGTTGGTTATTCCCTGTCAACTGACAAAAAAAACACTCATTATTTTTAAGTTAATTATAAATGTTTGAGTTGTAACATGGGTTGTGACTGCCACCGTGTGGACACACAATTATACCAAATCATGCACTTATTATATTGTATTGGCTTGTCTCTGCACAAATGAAGCCTATGTGAGGCATATGTTCCGTTTGAAAGGTATGGATTTCACTTTTAATTAATTCACCATTTATTAAGATGCTGAGCAAAATGAATGCGACGTAAGCGTATTATACAAATCAGTATTCAAAATACGCTTCTCGCCAAGTAGGCACAAAACCAATTAGAACCCCACCGGGATGAAACGAAATATGATTTTAATCATCAAAGGAAACCGTGCCAGGGAGGAAATTAGGAAAATTACACACGTTGTTGTTTTGTTGATTTTATGCATCGTTTTATATTAATATTTGCGAGATGGTTCTCTCTCCGAGCTACATTTTTAATTAAAAAAAGAAATGTTTTGGGCAACTCTTGCAGTTCCACATAGACATGTGTTGTAAGCATAACACTTCTAAGTGAGATGTGACCCTGCTGAGGGAGTGAAGGACTCGCGGCCCTGAGAGATCATGATTGCATAGAACCACATAGAACAGTGACCTCGAAAGAGGTCACCCTTGGGTGCTCAAGCCCCAGAGCCGGACTGCTGTCACTGTGGGTCAATGAGTAAAGACAGTCACATTAAGTTGTGCTTTTCTTTGGATTATACTCTCATGTCCTAACCTCGCTCCCCTTCACAACCCCTCCTCCCCCTTCTCGGCCTTGCTCGACAAGTATGAGGCCACATTTCTCTCTCCCGTGGCATTCAGAGGACAACACATACCCTATCTACAGGCGGGCCACGTTTCAGCCCAACCTTGTCCGCGCACCCCTCCACTGTCTCCCCATTTCTCCTTGCACTCCTTCCCCCACGTGTCCCCGTGTCTCGACAACGTCCCTTTGTCATATTTCATTAATAATGTGGTGCCTCCCTCTTTATGAGGAGGCTACAAAACAGCAGCATGCGTTATAGGTGCCTGTGCCCTTGAGAAACTTAGTAAGGTTATCCGCTGTATTCATGTGCACAGTGCTCTTCAGCAGACTGCTACTCTCCCCTTGTCACCTCACCTTGTCGATCATTGTTATTCAGCCATATTATCTTTTCTTTAGGTATATTTTGTATCCGATTCATTACATCTCATCCCATTCCACGTAGTCTGTACAGGCTTATTATGAACTCCCACACAGTGTGATGCAGCCCGCTTACCTCGCTGGGAGTAGTCGCTCCGTTGTTGACAGATGCGCTCCGGCTGTGCGCTGTCCAGGAGTTCTCCGCGCTCTTTGCTTCATTATTTCGCGGCGCACTGCTCGGACTGCATGGTTTAATGAACATAAAGTCACTTTTGGCTGATTCTGGTGTTAGGCACACTTTATAACAATAGGACTGGGAGAGACTGCTGTTCCCGTTTGCTTCCATACAGTTTGTGGGCACTTTTGAGGCTGAAGAAATCTGCAGGTTCAGGTTAGATTTTTTGAACGCCTCGGGAGGCGGCTCAGGCTGGAAGCCCCCGCAGCAGCAGCATGCGAAGGGGGGTAAACTGTACCCACTTATGGTTTCTCTGTCTTTATAGCACTTTACCCCAGCAAGCACAATAATAGCCACCAGGAATATGAGAGATATGGTGCTCAGTGAGACGATCAGGTAAAGCGCCAGGTTTGAAGGGGGCTGTGGGCTGAGTGTCAGGTCTCCAAAATCTGACATTGACTCTGGCACACTGTCTACCACGGTCAGGATGATGGAGACTGTCCCGGAGAGCGGGGGCTGCCCGTTGTCCTTCACTAAAACGACGAGTCTCTGCCGTGTTGCGTCCTTTTCTACCAATCTGCGTATTGTCCTGATCTCTCCCGTGTAGAGCGCGACACTAAACAGCCCCGGGTCTGTTGCCTGTAACAGCTGATAAGACAGCCGAGAGTTCTGCCCTGCGTCCGCGTCAAGAGCTGTGATTTTGGTCACCAGGTACCCGGCATCCACAGACCGTGGGACCACTTCTGTGGCCAATGTGCCATTTTTTGGCAGCGGGGAGACGATGACAGGTGCGTTGTCATTTTGGTCCAGTACAAAAACATTGACAGTGATATTACTGGCGAGCGGAGGGAACCCGGCGTCCTGAGCTTGCACCAAGATCTGAAAGTTTCGTAGCTGCTCGTAATCAAAAGAGCGCAGAGCATAGATGTTGCCATTGTCGGAGTTGATGGAGACATAAGTGGACACAGGCATGCCCTGAATCTGACCCTCAAGAATAGAGTAGGACAGATAGGCGTTCTGGTTAGAATCGGGGTCGAACGCTGTCACAGAACAAATGGAAGCGCCCGGAGCATTATTCTCGGTCACATAAACAGTGTATGAGGGCTGAGAGAACCGCGGGGGGTTGTCATTTATGTCAGACACTTGGACGAGAATGGTTTTTCTGGTGGAGAGCGACGGAGAGCCCAGGTCTCGCGCCGTCAGGGTGATGTTATATTCAGACACCGCCTCTCTATCCAGATACTCGCTTGTGACCAGAGTGTAATAGTTCTTAAAAGATGAGTGGAGCTGAAAGGGGATGCTGTTAGGAATCTGACAATCCACATTTCCATTCTCTCCGGAGTCCCGATCCATGACGCTGATTACGGCTATCACTGTGCCAGGTGGCGCGTCCTCTTGCACCGGAGTGGACACAGATGTGAGAATGACTTCAGGCGCGTTGTCATTCACATCCAGGATGTCAACAAGGACTTTACTGTGCACTGCCACAGCTGACTGTCCCCGGTCCTTTGCCTGCACATACAGCTCATATACACTGGCTTTTTCGTAGTCCACGATGCCTTTGACTCTTATTTCGCCCGTGTATGGGTCCACGCTGAACAGCTCACGTACTTTGAGGGGTGCGTGTCCGCTGAATGCATATGTCACCTCCCCGTTGGAGCCCTCATCCAGGTCGGAAGCGTTCAACTTTAAGATCAAAGTCCCCCTCGGTGCGTTTTCTACCAAACTAGCGCGGTAAACTGAGCGGTCAAACACGGGCACGTTGTCATTGGCATCTAACACAGTTATGGAGATGAGCGCAGTCCCAGATCTCTCCGGGGATCCCCCGTCAAACGCAGTCAAAACCATCTCGTGCTTTTTCTGCTGTTCCCTGTCCAGAGGGGTGTCCAGCACAAGCTCCGCGAACTTGCTGCCATCATTACGCGTCTGGATGTTCAGAATGAAGTGCGCATTGGCACTCAGCTGGTATGAGCGCAGAGAATTGGTACCCACGTCTTGATCTTGTGCGCTTTCTAAGGGGAAGCATGAACCGGGAGCCGCCGACTCGGTAATGTCCAGATTAAACTCGCTCCATGGAAAGCTAGGAAAGTTGTCATTGACGTCTAGGATTTCCACCTCCACTCTGTACAGCTCCAGTGGATTCTCAATAACCACTTGTAAGTGTAAGAAACAAGTAGGGCTGCGGTCACACAGCTCCTCTCTGTCCATCTTTTCATTTACAAAAAGGATTCCATTTTCCAAGTTTACTTCCAAGTACTGCCTTTTTGCCCCCGACACTATCCTAAATCGGCGCGCTGAGAGTTTAGCCACGTCTAAACCCAGGTCTTCAGCAATATTACCGACAAAAGCTCCATGCTCCAGCTCTTCGGGGATGGAGTACCGAATCTGAGCAAGAACCAAGTCCACGACACAGCCACACAGAAGAAGACATATGACCATCCCTGTCACAGGCAGCCAGCTGCCTCTGGCAAGTCCGTGATCCATGTCTGCGCCGTGCGTAAAATCACTTCAGGGACTCGTTATCCCCCATTTAGGCACTCTGGTTAGTCTGAGGAAAACTTGCTTAAATAGTTATTCAGGTTGCCACTCTTAGATGACTTTGTACCATAGTTGGTTACAGTGTTAGTACACACAAGTATGTGCACCTCTCTCTGGCTGCCCTCCATGCAGCGCTCTTGGTCTGCACAGGGTGGTCCGCGCTTTGATTTTCCACTGTGCCGTGCGCGCCGAGATGGTGAGGACCAGAGAGAGAGAGTGTGTGTGTGTCAGAGAGAGAGAGAGAGAGAGAGGGGGGCGCAGCTCCTCCGTATTGGAGGACGCACATCCCAAGTGTGCCTCTAATGATTGTAGACGGTTAACCCTTTCCTGTCGGTATGTATGTCCCTATGACCCATTAAAAGATAGAAGGCAGTAAGTGATGTCATTGTGATGTACCTGTCCAAGAATAACATTTGTTATGTGTTCACTTTATACTATATACTGTATGTATATATCATACATGTCTTCAATTGAATAATGTTTCAATAATGTTATTGTGAACAAGTTATTATTACCCATTGTCATTTATGTTTAGCATCTATTGTGAGAATCTGATTCAATAAGCACCACAACTGCATTAAAACCATGTTTAATAGATATTAAAAACGGCGTTCCCTCAGAGGTTTATATGATTACTATAACGACATGGTATTTTGGCTGTAATTCACATAAGTGTGCCGAACAGACACTAAAGCAATCAACATAATAGCACCATCATCAAATGTCTCTAATCACATATTAACACCAGGATTATCGTGTCCACAGGTAACATTATAGGTTTACATGAAATGGCCCTTTCACTCAAATGAAAACAGCACAGAGTGACGAGATTATGGCACATTTCTGGCCTAATATTTGGTTCTTAATCCAGATGCAGGTTCAGCTGACAGTGATACACAGAGCAGTAGAACGGAGGCTACAAGGATTTCTTTGTCAGGTCTACTTGGGTTGAGACACGAGAGGCATCTTAATGTCAAAATCAGGGATTGGTCTTTAAACCACAGGGCCCAGTTCTACGGTTTAGTTCATGAGCCTATATGTGAGAACATGGCCTGGCTGACGGAAAGTGTAAGCTTGAAATAACCACTTTTATCCATGTGAATGCAAAATTCTGACAGGGATTAAATATTTCTGCATTGGGCGAAAAAACTATTTTATATGCAATCAAACCAGTGCGACGCCCTCCCTTTTTAGAAACCAACTTCAATCCAAGGTTTGGATAAGCACAGAACACAATCTGCTTCAGACTTAACCTCAAGCAGATGGTTAAGCTTCTCCAGAAATGATTACATTTCTGGAAGGGAAAACATCACCAGGACCGATTCCATTGCTTTAGCCTTCTTTTTAATTAACGGAGTGGAGGATTAGTGTGCAGCTATCCGGGATCAACCGTTCTCCTACGAAGAATACAAATGTTTTGTGATAAATAATCCCAAAGCATTTCAGGCTCGCTCCCCCGGTGCTGGATACATTACCATGCATTACACGAAGAATTAATCTGGTGTCACCCGCCCCTGTGGCTTTGCTGTGCGCATTGTCCCGCTGAAACGTGTGCAGGACTTTCTCCAGAGCTGTAGAAGTCTGGATGAGGCAGAGGGAAGATGAGAGGAATTATCATCTTTTGGATACTTCTGAACTGTCTTAACTATATGAGTATCACGTGGTACCTTGTGGCTTCTGTTGTTAAATTGTTGATTTTATTACAAGTCTCAGCTTAACAGGACAACAGAGTGCACAATGACAAAATAAAATGCCATCATTTGACAATAAGCCATGCAAGTCTTTCGTGCGCTTTATCATGTGAGAATAGATCGCCATCTGCTGGTCGTAGACAGCACTTTGTCATCAATGAATACAACTGAAATAATTATCAGAATTTAAAAAACAGCCACAATAACAACAACTGCATCAACAATAATAATGACTAAAAGATCAAAATGGAAAATAACTAATATATATTTCATACTGAGATTGGTGAGATTGTCCAGTGTCCAGTGTGTTTTATGTTTTTGCCATTAAAAAATGTGTTGCATTTATACTATTGAGGGTTTAAAGGTACTCTGTGTACATTTTACAGTTGCTCCAAATGAAAAAAACGTGTTAACCAATAACAAATGTGACCTTTCTAAGAATATTTACCTCCACCATGTTTTTGAATTGTAGTCTTAGAAGTTGAAAAATAAATGTCAATGAGAGCTGAGGACTCTCAGCTCTGTCAATGCGCTATCTTGAAATACATTGGCTGATAAGGAACAAAAAGGATGCGAGAATTGCGTTTTTGTTTCACAGGTGCTACTAAAATAATAAAGTTGCTTTCACTGTGCCCTCACAAGCTTGAGGTAGGAACCATGGAGGACCGCAGTTGTATGAAAGAACCATGGAAGACAACAGTTATGTACAAGAACGACCCGAACAACAATCTACAGCAAACGGGTCAACATTGCAAACCACACGCACCGAAAGGCAGAGTTAACACAACAGGAGGAAAATTGTGTAGTTTGTACACAACAGATTCACACGTGAACAATACGTAACTTTCTTCACACTGACAGTAATGAGAACGAGGCAGAATCTGCACCACGGGTCTCATGTTCTGCCCATGCCCATGTTCTGACCCGCTCCGAGTCAAACTATATCCAAAGTTTGAACAAATCTTATTGTTTTCTAACCGTGTTGATGGATGCAGCGCCCGGTGAAATATTATACGTTTTTAGCCGCAGTTCTGCCGCGGCTGTGTCCATGTCCTGCAGCTGTATCGATGTCCAATGTCTTGGTCATTGCAGTTTAAAGAACCCACAGATTTTCCATTTCTCCATGTGTCTCTTCTCTTCTCAGCGTGTTTGTAAAACTAATAATATATTATATATATATATATATATATATATATATATATATATATATATATATATATATATATATATATATATATATATATATATATATATATATATATATATATATGTAACTAATATATATATATGGGTGAGGCACATGTGTGAGGCATATTTGTGGCAAGGTAGTGAATGGAGAGATCCCGTCATTTATCAAACTAAAGGATTCTTTCCTTAGTGATCCGGTGAATTACATTCTTTTAATATACATTTTATTCCTCAACTGGTTTTATTATGCTCACGGGACGACTTCTAAATAAACAAATACATAAAATAAACAAGTAAATCCTATTTCCTGTATAGGTCCACACATAGTATTTCTGAGTATTGATTTTGTCAGTTCAGTAATTGCAGCCTTCGTAAATATGCTTTCATCATCATGTTGAGTGCGCACAACATCCGACAAACAGTGCCCCCTAGTGTCAATAAAACGTATTAAAAAATGTATCTTTTTTCAGAACATACTTTTTTTTAAATACATGCTCAAAACCATAAAGACAAACAGAAAACCCGCACACAAATCCCTCTGAATGTACTGACCTCAGAGCTGTGTTTTGTTAGAGGCCAAGAAACAATAACCGATGCAGACCAATTTAAGCTTTGATCAAGAATATGACTACGTTTCTAAATTTAAAAAAAAGCAATTGCAATGTGTCAAATCTGATCAGAGACGACAAAGAAACCCTCATGTGACATACGTTTCAATGCACCCTGCGTATACATGGGTAAGCCACTAGGGGTCGACGTTTGCTAATAAATGGGAGGCCAGTTTGGAGACGGGAGCATTCACAGGTGTACAGTGTCCTTAACGCGCGCTTCATTCATCAAATAATCCACGCAGAGGTATGCTCATTTAGATATGGAGCAGAGATAAGTATATACGCATTCTCCGCCTGTTTTATGAACTCAACGAGGCCTACTCTTTATCTAAAATATAAACAAATATTCACCAAAGGGAATGTTTAAAAAGCAGCAGATATGTGTAAGCATAGCATACGGTGCCTGATAGGAAAGTGGAAAGAAGAAGACGATGGAGAGAAAAGGAGTTTTCTCCACATGCTCTTCAGCTGTGTAAACTGAAGGTCCGCACTGCTTCTCGGATTCCCCCAAAGAAGGCGATATTTATAGGAGGCTGGCAGTGGCGGCGCATGCACCTTTACTTTGTCACACCCATTAATATTATTATTACTTTTTTATCCACAAAGATGGAAAATGTCAGCAACCGGAGAGGCCTGCGGAGACAGAGCGGGCATGTTCCGAGGCTTCTGAGAAACCGTCTGCTGGTAACACATAGGCTGTACAGCGTTTATAGAAAGCGAGGCTGAATTAGAAAAAGACCTGAAAATAGAGAGGTATGTATTGGGGTGTAACCTGATCTACTAAACTTATTACAGCTGTCATAGAGTGAGAGGAAAAAGTGGAAGAAAAGAGAAGGACGATGTCGAGAGCGGAGTGGGGCAGACATGTGCACACATTCCACTTTTAGATTATAAAATTCCCTCAAATGGCTGGCGTGTTCAGACTACTATAGGTCAGCGCGCACCTGGCAACAGATGCGGATTCGGCCGACGTGAAGAAACACTAACAAAGTGTAATAGACATAACAGACGTCCACGCGCATGCGCACAGAAGGATGAGCGCCAAGGAAATTCCAGCAAGAACAGGTGGGAGTGACGATAGCATCTCCCAGGATGACTTTGATCTCATTCTGTCCCCGCACATCATGAAGAACACTGACTCCACACTGCCACTTGGTAATACAGGCCCAGTCACATTGTGTTGGCTTTGAGCAAGAGTGAAACGACCTGTTTGAGCAAGTGTTTTGCACATTGACACAAAACTATAATAAGATGAGTGTGAGTCTTCATATTGTAAATCTGGGGTAAGATTTGTTGGAGTTGAAACAGTCAGGATGCAGATGTGGGATGAGAGACGTGTGCTCTGAGGACACAAAGCTCAGGGTGCACGTTTGTACATGCGTAGTGTACAAAGGCCTATGCATTTCCTCAGACTTAATAGGCTCTATCAAACAGAATATTCTCACATCTAAGCCAGGAAAAGCCATGTGCAACAAAAGGCACAACTGTACATGCAGGGACAATACATAATAATGGATACAATCCCATACAAGTGTGTTGAAAACCCAAATATGAACATCTATCACTAACATGAACAAGTTGAACATCAACAAGTTTCTACAATTGTGTGACATTACTTTCCCATTAGTTTTACTTTATTTACTTGTGCGTTTTGTTACTGTGTCAGTATACATCACAGAATCAAGTTTGCTTTCACCACTGAAAGGAAACTACCAACACAGAATGCTAATTAGAGAAGGGGAAATAATAAATATAAAGCCTGTTTAATTTACCCTAAACATAGGAGAGCTACAGTAGATGTGCCAAGTGTGAGATGAGAGTGGAAAATCCCTACCTCAGGCCGTAAATAGGTGATTGACAAACCACGTAAACATGAATGTGCATGTAACATCCTACAAAGCCTCTGAACAGACCACTGCAGCTCTACTGCTCCTGTCACCGCTCTCTCCTCTGGCAACACTGTTTCATTACAGTCAAATTATTACTTGAAACCCCCTGATTTTTAAGTAATTTAAGCTTCACACAGCTATGATGCAAACATTGTTGCTTCTCCTTCAGAGAGATGCTCACTAGACTGCAACTCACAGCTCATTGACCAGAGTATAAGGAAGTGCAGCAGACACACAAGTAGAAATCAAAATTACGCACACAGAGATAATTATATTATTATTTACCTTTATTTAACCAGAAAAATCCCTTTCAGTTTTAGATTTCAGATGACTTCTTGGCCCACCTCCTGCACACGATACACAATAAAATACCAGAATGCATGTCACTTTAAGACCAATGAGGCTTTTAACCTAAAATCAATTATAAACTCACTGACTTAAACTACTATATGGGGTCCCTATGAAGTCCCCGCTGAAAGACCAAGGCTGCATCTGTGTCGAAGGAGCAGCCATCTTCCCGTGGACCCACCACCTGCAGGGAGATCAGCAAGGGACTGGTGCTGTGTGAATTGGGTGGCAGTTCTGATTGCCACCCCCCTGACCCAGAAATGGAAAATAAAGGGATGTAAATGAATGAAAATGAAATGAAATGAAATGACTTAAACTATTAACTGTGCTCACAGTGTGGTCAGTCTCTCGCTCTTTCCTTTTTCACATTCCAGGTTGCTTGCATATGTCTATCCCCCTCCCAATCACAAACTATACCTCACCATGTTTATAAAACATCTCCCCCATTCTCTCCAGTGCTCCTTGTGCTACCTGACATGGTGGCGCTATGCCCAATGAGTCACACCTCTGCTAAAACCATCAGAGATGAAGGGGGAGGAGAAGAAAAGAAAGAAGTCGTCAGGGAGAGAAAAAAAGCTTGAGTATGACAGAGAAAAATATAGAAAATAAAAGTGGGAGGAGAGAACGTTAGGAGAACCAGGGAGCCTTAGGGAGTGAAAAGAGCATAGAGTGCATTTCACTTCTTGACTCCAATAGTCAGCGTGTGCTTGTCAGTAACAGTTAGCCTGTGGACAACAACACTTTACAGTGTAGTGCAAAGGCACAAAACACATGGAGGAAAGTGACATGGTACATGCACCCACCTGCACACATCTATACGTCCAGCAATCAGACATGCAAACAAACCAGTGTGGTGGAGCCCTGCCTCTGCATCAGCCTCCCCCACCCCCTCTCCCCGTTACCGTTGGTTACCACACAAACACTCCCTGTTGGGCAACACTGGGAGTCAGGAGAGGACGTACACAGGTCACATATCTCTCGTACACCAGTTGGAAAGTTGTATCTGGTGCTTTCTGTAAAGGTCTAATTTTCTAGCTTTTGTAAAATGTCCAAACACAAAAAGAAAAACTGTTGAAAGCTGCTGTGGATAACCCTGTAACAGTATAGATATAGATATCTATTCTGGATATAAGTATAAGTATGGCTTCCCCTTTAGGGTCATGTAGGGCTCCCCAAATACAGATCCTGCAGATCTTAGTGATCTTTTAAAACGATGAATTAGAGATGAAGATGAATGTGCGAACAGAAAATCAATCTATCCATCAATCCATGAGGATTGCATTGCCTAAATGCTGAGGTCAGCTTATCACCACAAAGACAGATGGAAGGCGCAAGTGTTTTATCTTGGGTTTTGCACTTAAGCATTCAGTCTGATTACATAGTACCTCTACAAATGGCACAATCTTCCTCCTCTGATAGGGTCAATCCGCAGTGAAGCCCCAGGCTTAGGTAGCGGAACAGGCCTCAGTCCATAATGCTCATGTTTCCAAAGCCTAGCAGCCATCCATGAAGCTCCCTATCCCTTTCTACAGCACACACCACACAAAACAAGCAGGCAACTGAAAAACACACCCTAAAACTATTTAGCAAACTTTAGAGTGGGATGCATTGAACAACAATTACGGTAAAATGTGACTAATGTGTCACAGGCGGTGTTGTTTTTTTCGGACCTACTCATTTTTCCTCCCATTCCTGCCTTTTCCTTTGTGCCTTTTCCCCTTTTACTTCAAACCCTTGTAATTACAAACAAAAGCTCTGACTCTTCTCCAGCTGAAACAATGATAACGATGAGGAGTAGTGTGAGTGCGTGTGTCTTCTACAAAGACACGAGATGCTGATGTGTGCAGAGACATGTGTGGCAGACAGGATTAACACAATCTGGGCACGCAGCCGCCTCTTTCAATGTGTTTGAGAGAGCATGTGTTCACTCTGAGCTTGGCATTTCAATGAAGCTACACTATCATGGAAGTATAATGGAAAAAAGACACAGGGAAAAAGAACATGAAGAGCAGGTTGCACTTCTAACAACCTCAGGATAATGTTTACAGGAATTTGGATTATTCCTACTGTTGCACTAATGAATGGGTTTGCGATTGACATAAATCGGACAAATCGGACAAAGCCAAGGGCCAAGGCCCTTTAGCTACTCATTCAAGATGGCACATCTGTCCTCCAATGATAAGTTTGTGCCTGCTGCTAAATCCTCTCAAACTCCCAGAAAAAAAATGGTAGCATTTGTTTTCTGTACCACCTCAACTGCGAGTTAGGTGGTAGAGCAAACAAATGCAACCAATTATTCATGATCAGTAATTAATTATGATCATGAATTATATGTTGGAAAAAAACATGAAATCAGGCATTTTGGAGTCTTGTCTCGCTTCCCCTAAAATCTCTGAAAAGTATTGTGTCAACGTTGGACTATTTCAATTTATGTAAATGTTTACAATCTCATTGGACAACTTACATTAGTTAAACCCAGATAAACAATTATTGATTTAGCATAATTTTGTTATTTTAGGCAAACTTTTTTCAAACTACCATGTTTGTGTTAAAAGGACAGTATGTAATCTTTTTATTTTAAACTACATTTTAATCTGTCTGCAGATAATACTTCAACGTACAAATCATATTTGACCTTTTCTAAATAAATGTTTGAAGTGGAGTTGTTATATATATATTTAACATATAATTTTCAAGCAGATTTTCAATAGATAGCAGACTCTGGCTTTCATTTGTTTGCCAGTTCGTTAGGTGAAATTTAGCTAGCTATCTTTAAAAACATTCCCAAACAAAATAATAGCACCAGACATTTGTTGAAATGAAAGCAGATACAACCTTAAGCATCCTATGTAATACACAGAGTATGTGACGTTTCTAACAAAACTCCAGTAAGTATACCGTCAGTTATCCATGATTGTCCATATAATCTATGACTGTAATTGTAATGACTTTTTTAGACCCCCAAGCGTTCATATTACATACAGTAGCTTTGATACAGATTGATCACGTGTTTAATTTCTAAAGATATTTGCAAATTGTCTGCCAATCATGCCCAACACAATAAGTTTTCGAGTGGATCTTTTGTTGTTGCAAGATATAATTATGAAGGGCATAGAGTTTTATAGTAACTGTAGCATTTTTCAGAGACTACAAACGTAAAGGCCTTTGCTGCTGCAATGTATAAGTGTATGTATGTCGGTTGCGAGGTAGAGCAAGAGTGTTGTGCCTGGTTGTGTTTGGAGCAGAACCAGGCCAGAGGAGCTCAAAGAACTGAATGTCATCATCAGAGCTGTCGGGGAGCCAAGTAGTAATCACACCCAGATCACCTACGCACTCACGCCAACTTACAACACTAGTCACTCTAGAGCACTGTGCAACTCTGGGACCAGCCAGAAAAAAGTTTGGAGACTGATTGAGAGCGAGAGAGAAAATGAAAGACAAGACGTATACGTGTGCGGACCAAGTATGCATCCTGTGTGTGCGTGAGTGCGGTCGTATTCGCAGTGAGTGCAAGCTGCAAATATGTTAGCTGGAGATGAAGGTGGATTTGCTGCTTTACAAACTATGTCAGTTTTACAACCCACCCCTCTATTTTCCAGTTTAGATGCTGCACCAGATGTGAAAACACAAAAATATGGTCGTACTCAAAGAGGCTAAATGTTACACATTCACACCATCTCTCACTATAATTCAAGCACAGGTGCTGTAGTATCAGTGGGTGGATGTCATGGAGGGCGACAGGGATGCCCCATTCTTGCCTCACACTAAGAATGTCCATTACATCTGTCCAACTCATGCTTGGGTCTCGCAAAAGTTTCCTCCTGGCGCTTCGGTTTCCGCTATACCACTAAAACCCATAAGCCCCGCTTCAGTTCATGTAGCTGTGGTTACAGTTGGTTAGGTTACTTTATGGGCACCAAAAGGTAAATTCAGTCCCTTCGCATAATGTACATTCAGACAAAGTGACATATTAACAGTGCATAACGCATGGACTAAAATCCTCACTAACGTTTAAAAATACCAACACGGTGCATGGCGTGAATTCAAAATACACCACACAGAACCAAAAAAAGTGCTTTGTGACCTTTGTATCTGAAAAGCGCTGAAAAAAATAATTAGATTTAGATTAGATTTTGGAGGTGATGTGGATAATTGCCCATGACTGCTTTTTTAGTTTTTGTAATACAACATTTGAATATATAGTGGAAGGAATCACCCTTCATCTATTTTCTTACGCTTTATCTAGAGTCAAGTTGCGGAGGTGGCAGTCTTCCACAACCAGTCCCGACGTAGGTGGTGAGCCCACAGAGAAGAATCCAACCTAACATATGTTTAAACTATGGTTACTGTTAATTTATTTTGCATTGGAGGACATTGCATAATATATGTTTTCTGTCAGGATTGCCCGAGAATTTGAGAGACCAAGAATGTTTGACCAATTTAAATGCCTATAAATAAAAACCTCCTGATCAATCATGGATACAAATAATCACTTGAGTAATATGGACTATCCATCCATCCATTTTCTTCCCATTAATCCATTTCTGGGTCGGGGGGGTGGCAGTCGGAGCTGCACCCAGTACACAGAGCACCAGCCCCTCACTGATCCTCCTGCAGGTGGTGAGTCCACAGGAGCTGAGATCTTTCAGTGGGGGCTTCAGGCAAAGTGGGGTTAAGTGTCTTGCCCAAGGACACAACGACAGCAGACATCAGTGGGAGTCATGAAGTAGGTCTTGTGGTGGGCTCGAACCCACGACCTTCAGGCTCAAAGGTCAATATGGACTATAGTAAAGAATATTTAGTTTTGTCCCATTGAAAAATGCAGAAAAGGTATTACAAGCCACAAGGTGGTAGGGTCTAGAGCAGGGGTGTCATTCATGCGGCCAAGAGATTTGACACGGCCCGAGCCTCATTTATGTAAAATGATAATAATAATAATAATTTGAAAAAATAAAACAATCCGCACCGCGACGCAAGGCTCCGCGGTGCCACACGCAGCGTTCTGCAGCTAGCTTAGACGAGTGGGTCTGAAGTGGCTCTACCAGAGCGTGTTCTGTGACTGACTTGGCAAAAAATACGGCACTTTGAGCGGAGAATTGAGAAGACAGAAGATAAACATGTCTGGCCCTGGAGAAACAGCAGTCTGTTTGTGCCCAGAGCAAGAGGTCAGTGATGCTGCTGTAAAGGGAAGCTACCTGAGTGCTAATAACATAGCCTTAGCATCGCAGCCACACAGTGAGAGAGTTTGTTATACTCTCATACAGGCTGCAGACATGGTCTGAGAAACCACACACTGTCACCAACATGTTGCCATTGATAAGTGACTGATGTTACTGATGTCGCATATTCATTTGTGGTGTTACTGAAACTATCAGAGGAGTTTTGAGCGCTGCTGCTGGTGGCGCTGCTGGTGCTGTTGTTGCTGGTGCTGTTGGACAGTGTGGACTGGTCCTGCACTCTCAGTCTGGTACCGATGGTAAAGCAGGAGTTGTGACAAAGCCGCAAATGGAGGTGATGATTTTTGGACATTTGACTATATTTCACACAAAGACACTGCTGCAGTCGTTAAGAATGGATCACG